TTAATGGGATAGGGAAAGCTGTGTATGTTTGGTATAAGGGGATAGTCTGTATCTGTCTATTCAAGTTTTTAAAATAAGCTTGTTCTTTCCTTAAGAATCTCTCCTGTAATTGTTGATTTATTTATTATCATTACTATTTGCCCTTGGTCCCTTACCATTCCTGCTGTCATTACCATTATCCATATCCCTCCCTTACTCATCCAGTATTTTGGATTGTTTTAATATTCCCTGCCAGCTTGCTTTATCCCATATCCCCCCCCCACTAACTACTACTGCTGCTTGTTTCAACTTCAGGCCAAGCACACCCAGGAGAACTGTGAGACTTGGGGTGTGAATGGTGAGACAGGTACTTTGGTGGACATGAAAGAATTGGGCATCTGGGAGCCATTGGCTGTGAAACTACAAACCTATAAGACAGCAGTGGAGGTGAGGCACCCTAAGGCATATGCCATTGTATTTATTTTCTCTTTTGCTAGGACAGCAGATAGGAGAGTGTTCCCATGACACCATGCAGAAACCAGTATATTTGGTCTAATCTTTAAGGGAAGGAGTATTGAAGGCAGAGTTTCACCCAAATCAGAGCTTCAAAACAATTCAGTCTTGGTCTTGGTTGGTGGAATCATAAGCACTGCATAGCAACTAGATCTCATGTATCCGGTCAGATTTTGAAATAGGCAGCAGCAATGCTCTGCTCAAAGATGGTGGCTGACAGACAGTCACTATTTTTTGAGTGGGGCACTGCTGTGATTCCTACTCTTGTTAGAATCCCACACTGAAGCGATCTGGTTGCTATGCAGTACTTATTACACTGCCCTTATTAGCCCAGTCCTGATGAACCATGACTGAACAATTGCAAACTGGTCTGAAGCTCTGCCTAAACTAAGAATATTCTTCCCAAGGAATTCCATCCCCGTCTTATTTTAACTCATACAAAAAACAATGGTAACATAGCATAAGCTGCATCCCTTTTTTAGGGAGAACCACATTTTACAATCAAGACTTTAGAAAGGTAGACTTCAGATACAGTGGTAATTCTGTGAGAGGAAAGAGCTAGGTAATGTGTCTAAGACAAAACAAATGCCCTTCCCATCTCTGCTGACCTCTTTGGGACTATGTTTTTTCTCCTAGACGGCAGTCCTGCTGCTACGGATTGATGACATCGTCTCTGGCCACAAAAAGAAGGGTGATGACCAGAGCCGGCAAGGAGGGGCTCCTGATGCTGGCCAGGAGTGAGCAGTGGGCAAGCGCCCTCAATGCACAGAGCCTGCAGATATTCTTCCATCCCTGAGCTAGAAAGCCAGGGCCACTGTGGATGTCTTTGTTTGGAACGAGATCAGGTTGAGGGGGAGCCCCCAGTCCCTTTCTGACCCAGCTCAGTTTGCAAAAGGCACTGACATGTAATTCTTCTCTATTGTAAGCTTTCCATTTAGTTTGCTTCCAATGATTAAATCTAAGTCATTTGAGACAGTTGTTATGTGTTTTTCAACCTTGGGTCGTGTCTCTACCTCTTGGCAAAGAAGGAAGAAGCTGAAAACCTTACTGGGGAGAAAGGGAAGCGGGAATGAGGCCATTAGTTGTCTTTATTTGTCTCGGGCTGTTCTTCAGGCTTCTCAGTTGATCTTGGTTGGGAAGACCCTTTACATTCACTACCCAAAGAACAGGAGAGACCTGTCCAAACCATTGATGTTCCCCAACTGTGGTTATTATGTAGAATGGCATCCAACACAAGCTAGGGCTCAAGCATTTGTCCTAAAGGACGTTAAAAAAATTGGTACTGCATTCTCTAGCTTTCAGAATACTCCCTGGCTTACCTGGGATGGTGGAGGCTAGGTAGGGCCCCCATTTGATTTCTTCAGTGTTCTTCCTCTTAGCTTCTGGGCCTTCCATCCTACCCTTGGTCTTTATGATTCATACATTCAACCTGTTTATCTCCTCTCTTACTTAAGACTTAATCATAATAAGTTGAACTACTAGGTAGAATGGAGCACGGTGACTCCATAGGATAAGCCCTGGACTGCGAACCACAAGGTCAGTTCAAACCCACCAACTACTCCATGGGAGAAAGATAAGGCTCTCTGCCCCCACAAAGATGTATAGTCTGAGAAATGCTATTGTTGTATAGGGTTTCCACAGTAGCCTTAAAAGGTTGGTGATGGTGTTGGTTTGTGGTGTGATAGCTAGCCCCCGTTTTATGAGGAATCCTGGTGTGGCGCTGTGAACTGCAAAGTCTGTTTGACCCACAAAGTTGGTGGTTTCAGCTCACTAACCATTCCTTGGAAAACTCTCCAGGGTCGCTATGGATTAGAACTGACTTGACAGCACTTTAAAACAAAGTATAAAGTGATTTGTCTGAGGGTCACATACAAATTAAGAATTCCTATACAAAACGATATATGATAGAATGAATGTAAAACTAATGTTCTCCCATGTAAACTATCACAATTCACAATAAAACATTTAAGAAAAAAAAAAAAATTTCATATGCAGTTAGGAAAGGATTTGTGAGGGCATCTTGAGACCTTTAATGCTCTACCAACCAATCTTTAGCTTGCTGCTTAGCCTTCAACTTTTCCTCTGCTACAAAATGAACCCACTGCCATTAAGTCCTACCCAGGGTTTCTGAGGCTGTGGCGCTATGGGTTAATGCACTGGACTGCAAAGTTGGTTTGAACCACAAGGTAGGTAGTTGAAGCTCACCAGCTGCTCCTCAGAAACCCTATACAAGGTCACTATGGGTTGGAACCAACTCAGTGGCACTTAATAATCTTTATGGACGCAGACTGCCATATCTTTTTCCCATAGGGTGATTGGTAGGCTTGACCTTTTGTTAGCAGCCAAACCACTGTGCCAACAGGGTCTCCTCTTCTATAAGCAGCTCTGATATGAGCCCATTGCCTTGTGCTGAAATATTTATATCTTGAAAAAATACTTTTTTTAAAGTTTTTATTGTGAATTAAATGATAGTTTACATGGGAGAACTTTGGTTTTACACTCATTTCATTGCAATGATTACAATCTCCACGCATCATCATTCAACAGTATTTGCTTCTATTTCCTCTGTGCGTTTTTGTTGAAAAAAACACTTGTAAGACTTGTTAAATTAATGAAGGGAGACTAGTAGTCAAACCCTGTGAATTCTTTACTCCAAAAAAGTGCCTTCTACTTTGAAGTCTATGAAAATCCCACTGGCATGTTAGATCATTCTGTATTCTTCAGTGTAGTGTTCAAAGGCCACTCAAGGCCACTTCTGTTGTTTTGCATGAACCTTATACATGACTTAGGAACATAATTTTGCCCCCTTGACGTCTTACTGTCAAACTCCTACCTAGATCAGTCTAATCTTACTTTGCCCCTATAAAATAAAAGCTTTTTGTATGGTCAGGAGGCTTGAATTTCTTATTTCTCTCAAACTACTCAGTCTATCAAGTATCTTGTTTTTTATTTTATCATTTTTCATGAGTTGATGCCTCAGAAGATACAAGTATTTTTTTATCTCATGAGAAATTGAAGTTTGCATGATAAAGAACATGCAGGGAGAGAGGGTTTGACAATTAAGGCCAATAGGAAAATAGGCAAAGGGCATAAATGCCTCCCAGGGAAACAAAAATGAATGCCTTTGCAAAACAAGATTCTTTACTCATAACCCCAAATTAAATTTGGTAAATTTTGGGGGTGTGGAGAAGTAGGCCTGCAAAAGCATAATACGGGTATCAATTGGTAAACTTCATTCATAAAGGCCATTTGACCTGGCAGGGCAACTCCTGCAGTTATCCTATGGATTTGGTTACAAATAATAAATGCTGTATGGATAGGTGTATTTCTTTCACCATTGTTTGGACAGCAACAATGGAAACAACATAATTCTGATAAGATACAACCATAGAATGTTAGGTACTAGAGTGAGTTCTAACCCATAGCGACCCAATGTACAACAAAGCAAAACACTACCTGGTCCTGTACCATCCTCAGAACTGCTGCTACATGAGCCCATTACTCCTACCACTGTGCCAATGCATCTCATTGGGGGTCTTTCTTTTTTTCACTGACCAAATATGATATCCTCCAGGGACTGGTTTCTCCTGATAGTGTCTAAAGTTTGAGAGAAAATATATCCATAGAATATTCCTGTGTAATTAATGTGGAAAATGAAGGTAGCTCCCCAAGTGTATTGTTATTACAGAACAGTGTGAGTGCCATTATTTTGAGGTATTTTACATACAGTACATATTCTTGAGTATGCATAGAATAATTTCAGAGGAATATGTAAGAGTCCTGGTGTGGCACTGCAGCATATGTACTGGATCTCAAGATCAATGGTTCAAATCCACCAACTGCTCCTAGAAACCCTATACAGAATTGTTATGAGTAGGAAGCAACTCCATGGCACTTAACAACGACATGAGAAACATAACTTTTCCCACGTAGGAGGATCCAAGTTGCTGAGGAATAAGGATGATACTCTGGTACCTATTAAATTTTGTACTATATTTACTGTTAGTCAAATTTTAATTTAAAAGCAAGCAACAGCAACAACAAAAAATGTGCATTCAGTCAGTCAGCTATGACCTACTTTTGCCAAAATACATAAGTTGCTCTCATATCCTGTTTCCTAGAGGTGTTTCTCATGCTCTCTACAATAAAATCACTAACTCTTCTCCAAGACTAGACTATCATGGAGCTCAATATATATATATATATATATATATAAACAAAAATATATTGTTAATAGTAGATTGACAAAAAGAGCCCGCTGGTGTGCACTATTTTTCCCATGGAATTTTATTGGGGTCCTATTTAGGTCTTGAATCTAATATGTCCGTGTATCTGAATCAGAATGTCTCACTTGCTGGAAGGCTAGCTAACTATGTTCAAACTTTAGCCGAAATAAGAGTTAAGGGTGGCGTTCTCTTTAAGAGCTGGCACGGTGACTCCGCCCTTTAAAGGGATCAGCTGAATCTGAGTCACTTGACTTCCCGGTGCCTCCTCGGAAGTTGGGCTGCATGTGCGGCTCTGGGGAGCCCCGCTGGGGCAGGGGGCCTTGTTCCCCCAGCCCCATGCTCTTCCTGAGCCTACTTCTATCTACAGCTCCTTTTGTCCTGCTGGGGGAGAAGACCCGCCAGGTGAGCGCTCCATGGCTAAAGGTTTCAGGAAATGCTACCTTTGTGGGTGGCTGGAATATGGGACAAATAAAGGGTGGGGACCTGGCTGCGGAAAAAAAACGAAAGCTCTTAAAAAAAAAAAAAAGGCTCTGCAATCTGTGGAGAGGGGAGGCAGACATGGATAAAGGAAAGAATTTCAGAGTAGGGTAGATGTGAGGGCTTCCTGTCACCAGGTGAAGTCTGGACTCTGACTCAGTCCTGGCGACCCTGGTCCAGGCCAGTGTTGGATTTTTCCCTTCCTCATAATCCTGTACTCTGATCGCCCTCCAGGGTCAGGGTAGTTCGTGCTGTGCCCCCATCTCCACCTCACCTTTGCCCCTTACTGCAGGATTCCCTTAGCTCATATACCTATGCCTCTTGCCTAGGTCCCTGAGGTTCTCCCCCAAGGTTCTCCTTTGTCTTGTATTTCCCTGATCCTGTTCACTCAACCTTCCTCCTTATTCATGCTACTCCTTGTTTCAGGTGTCTTTGGAGGTCATCCCTGGCTGGCTGGGTTCCCACCAGAATTTGCTCCATATCCGGGCAGTGGGCACCAATTCCACACTGCACTATGTGTGGAGCAGCTTGGGGCCACCAGCAGTGTTGCTGGTGGCCACCAACACTCCCCACAGCTCCCTGAGTGTCAACTGGAGCCGCCTGCTATCCCCTGAGCCTGATGGGGGCTTGGTGGTACTCCCCAAGAACAGCATCCAGTTTTCTTCTGCCCTCATCTTTACCAGGGTGAGGAGGCTGGGGGATCCATGGGGAACAGCTGCAGAGGAGAAGGTTCATCCTAATTAAAGGGAAGAACTGAAGACTGGGGAGTGGGACCAGTGAGTGGGGAAGGGTGGTGGTGATGATCCAAGAGAAAGCTGAACCCAGGCAAGCCCAGCCCTTTTCCACCCCTGTCCTCCAGCTGCTTGAGTTTGACAGCACCAACCTATCTGATGTGGCAGCAAAACTCCCAGGAAAGCCATATCCCCCTTACTCTTTGGCTGAATTCTCCTGGAACAACATCTCTGACTCCCTGGATCCTGCCACCCTAAGTGCCACATTTCGAGGTCATCCCATGTCCGACCCTACCAAGGCTTTTGTCAATGGCAGCCTGGCCTTCAGGGTAAGGATTGCAGTGTTAGAAAAAATTCAAGGCTAGTTTATGAGGGTGGGGGTTAGTGATGGGCATGGCCCTCAAGTATAGGCATTCACCTGCTTCCCATACCTCCTGCGCCTCCATTCTAGGTCCAGGCCTTTTCTGGATCCGGTCGGCCAGTTCAGCCCCCTCGCCTTCTGCACACTGCAGACACCTGTCAACTGGAGATGGCCTTGGTAGGGGCCTCTCCCCGAGGAAACCGCTCCTTGTTTGGGCTGGAGGTAGCCACCTTGAGCGAGGGACCTGACTGCCCCTCAGTGCTGGAGAAACACTCCATTGATGATGAATATGCACCTGCTGTCTTTCAGGTCAGACTTCCAGTGGAGAGACACATGGGTGGGAATGTGCTCACTTAAGGAGCAGCTGACTAAAGTGTTGCTAAATGTTCAACCATAGAACATTAGCAACACTTTAGTCAGCTGCTCCTTAAGTGGGCACCTTAACCAATTGGACCCAGTCTCTCTCTGCTCTTTGTGCAGGAGACTGGCAGAAGGCAATACTGCGTGACTTGTGCTCTGGCCGTAGAGATCTGCAAGGACCTCAGAGAAGAAGTTGAGTGCAGACTTGCAGGATGTCAGAGCTAGAATACGACTCCACACTCATCCACTCCAACTCCTCCTTTGTATAGAGAGATTGAGGCCCTAGTGCATAGCTTGTCAGTTCTAGAACCAGGCCTAGGACTTGGACTCCTGCTTCCCTTCACACACTGCCTGTCACTTCTAATGACAGATGGAGGCAGAGAGAAGACAGGGGATAAAAAGGGTTGGGTCAGGGTTAATCTTCCTCACTTTGCCTTGTCTTGCTCCCTAGTTGGACCAGCTGCTGTGGGGCTCCTTGCCATCGGGCTTCATGCAGTGGCGACCAGTGGCTTTCTCCCAGAAGCAGGGGGGCCGAGAATCAGCTTTGTCCTGTCAAGCATCTCCACTTCACCCCACCTTGTCATACCCCCTCCCCCAGTCACCCATTGTCCGGGCCTTCTTTGGACCCCAGAACTTCTGTGCCTTCAATTTGACGTTTGGGGTTTCCACAGGCCCTGGCTACTGGGACCAACACTACCTCAGCTGGTGAGAGCCAGGACCTGGGCTGAGGGTTTGAGGGATTGAAGTGGGGGAGCTGAACCTCCTAACCCTCCCACCTAAACCTTTTTCACCTAAACCTGTTTGCTCTAGGTCGATGCTTCTGGGCGTGGGCTCCCCTCCAGTGGATGCCTTGTCCCCACTAGTTCTGGGCATAATGGCAGTTGCTCTGGGCACTCCAGGGCTCATGCTGCTAGGGGGAGGCCTGATTCTACTTCTGCGCCACAAGCAGTCTTCAGAGTACCAGCCCATAAATTGAAGGCCACTGTCTAAATGGAAGGACATCACTGGAGCTGCCTTGCTGGGCCTCAGACTTCTGGAGTTTGGAGGGTCAATGATCTGGCCTGACCCATCTGCTTTCCCATCTTGCTTTTTGACAGAACCTCAAGCCCCACCCTCAACTCTCTAGGAACTTTGAGGTGGGGCTTTCTTCATACTCTGAAGAGGAGACCAGGGACCAGGTGATTGCTAGGAGGAGGTGTTACCCACCCCCACTGTCACCTGAATGGGACTTACAGGCTGAAGAGGCATTCTATCTGGTTCTGCCTTGGAGATGTTGAAATAGACTTTTCCCACCCGCCACAAAACTCCAGTTTTTAATGTGTAAATGTTGTTGGGATGGTTCTAGGGAATGGAAGGGCTAAGAGATGGGAGTCGGAGGCATGTTTCTATTCAGGGTCCCATTTCCTCACCAGGCTTAGCTCTCTCCCTTGCCAAGGCCACCCTCCACCATGTGGAGCTGGGAGGTTTCTGTGGCATCATCTGAATCAAAGAAGAAATGAATGTTGGTGACTGAGAGACAAACACAAAAGCCAACAAAGACTGTGGTAGTAATTTATTGTTCCCTCCCCTTACCACACACATACACACTCACACTGGGATTTAGCATCACAACTACTCCCAGCCTGGGCACACACACAGAGACATTGTGTTGTTGGGAGGCAGGTCTCCATTTCTGCTCCTTTTTCCCATATGAGAGAGGCCTGACTTGTGGGCAGTTTAGAGGTGGGACTTCACAGTGACCTAAATAGGTTGGAAAGGAGAAGGCAGTGGTTCTGGGCTAAAGGGCCCACAGGGCCAAAGTTCTGCCTGATCTCATGTCCAGCCTCTATCTTTAGGCATGGGAAGTATTTCCAGTCTTCTTGAGGTCCTCAGCTTAGACAACTGACATAGCAAGTGTCAAGGATTTGGTTGTGAAACCTGAAAAGTGGGGCAGAGCCTGGCATTATGGGCCTTGAGTAGCTGTGGTTGCTCAGGAAGGAACCATGCTTCTCTCCCCGCTCTTGGCCCCGGTGCCCCTCGGCATCCTTAAGGGACACGGCAGTCTACCTCTTTCCCTATAAGAAAACAAAATCCCTCCCTCATGATTGTCCCTAGCTTCAAAGACGAAGCTTGCTGGCAAAGGAAAAGCAGGGGATGGTCTGATTGGATGGGACCCCTGTTGGGGCAATAGCAGGGTTCCTTCCTCTGGTACTGGTACCAGAGGAAGCAAAGTAGAGGTCTGGGGCAAAGTAGAGGTCCCATAAACCTGTTCAGAGAAGTGTCCTAAACCCACCCCGGGAGCCCGGTGTTTGAGAGGTTCAGCCCCAGGGGCGGGACCTGTAGTCCGAGGCAGAGCGGGCGTGGTCAGGGTAATCCAGGCGGGTTTCAGCAGCAGTGAGCATGCGCTCGGGCTCCACTACGAACATGTAGTAGAGGTTCCACACCAGCATGGCCAGCAGTGGCAGGAATGTCAGGCCATAGCCAAAGCCTCGGAAGGAGCGGCCCACGGCAAAGGTCAGCCAGTATATTAGCCTGGAGAAGCAAGAAAGGGTCGGGCTACCTTATGGGTCACAGCAGTCCCATCCTATTGTGCATAGGGTCACCATGAGTCGGGACCCAGTAGATATCAGCCAATACCAACAATCCTCTAGGGAAGACGGTAGACTGATTGTAGGGAGAACACCGTGAGGGAAGCAGAAAAGGGTTGGTAGGTAAGGCAGATATCCCAATAACAGCCACTGTTTATGCACTTACAATGTGCCAGGTAGTAGTGGTGGTGGTGTGCGGTGGAGTCTGTTTTGACTCAGCGACCCTGTATAGGGTTTCCCCTGTATAGGGTTTCCAAGGTTGTAAATCTTTACGGGAGTAGAAAGCCTTATCTTTCTCCCACAGGACGACTGGTAGGTAGTTTTTAACTGCTGACCTTGGGGTTAGCAGACCAACTCGAAATCACTAAATGCCTTCGAGTCAGTTCCCACCCATAACAATCCTGTATAGGGTTTCCGAGGAGTGACTGGTGAGCTTGAACCGCTGACCTTGTAGTTCAAACTGACTTTGCAGTCTAGTACATTAACCCTTAGCATCACACCAGGACTCCTGCTACCAGAGCTAATTTAGATTTGCTATTTAATTTAGATTTCACATCTCTCTATGAAGTGCATATATTTATCCTCTTCTTTATTTCTTTATTTTTCTAATTTTAATTAGAATTTTTTGAATGGGCAGTATATAGTCACATAGTTCATAATTTAAAAATATCAATAAGTATAGTAAAAAGTCTTCCTACCTTTGTGGATTACCAACTACCCTAGTCTCTACTCCTGGCATCCAGTATTGTGATTTCTTGTGCCTCGAGTCATATGTTATGCATATATGAGCAAAATGGTTTGGGTTTATGTTTTCTTCCTTTTTTGAAGTACGCCAGCATACTATACAGGTAGTTCTACTTATTGATTTTTTTTTTCTTTCACTTACTATACCTTAGAGATAATTTTGTATCAGTATATAAGCACTCACTCATTTTTTTTACATCTACAGCACCTTTCATTATTCATTGCCTCTCCTGCAGATGAAGAAACTAAGGTTCTAAAGGGGTTAAGTTAGACTGGTTCAAGGTCACACATTTTTAAAACAGCAAAACTGTGATTTGAACTGAAGCCTCTTGCCTTTTGAAAGGGATGAAGGGAAAGAGGAGAATCTAGCCAGCTAAATTTCCCCTTTTGGAAAAAAAAAATGCATGTCATGTCCTTTAATGGTGGGTGGGACCGCATTTTCTTAGTACATATATGAAGGACAACCACTTATTACAAAATTGACATGTCTGCTTTTTCACCTGTGAAAGGGAGAGAAGAGTAACTACTGTTTCTAGACTCTCCCAGGAGGCCACATGGCATAATAATAAGATTCCACATTCATCAAAACTTTACCAAATGCCTGAGTGTTGTAAGTATTCTACAGGAATTAATCCATTTAACCCTCACAACAATTCCATTTTATAGATGATGAAACAGGCACAAAATGCTTACATAACTTGCCCAAAATATAGAAAAAAGGACCCTGATAGGAGAGGGAAGGGATCCGGATTCTGATGCAATATAATGGGAGGACTGGGCCAGATAGATAGATCATCAGCACCTCCCTTCAGGTCTTCGATGATTGTATTTAAATCAACTTCTACCTGAAAACAGCATCCCCCAAGAAGGAGATGGGAGATGGGTTACCAGAGCAGGAACATAGCTACTTATCTTGGGAAATATCTACTAGGAGAAAATGCAAAGGTGCATGATGGTTAGGAGGCTGGAGGGACAGTCGACCACTAGACTACAATCAGAAGTGACCAGAAGGCAAATTTTAGCTTGATATAAGGAGTAATATTTTAGCAGTTAAGCTACCTGGAAACCTATATTGAAAGTAACAAGAGGAAATGTAGTCAGGAAAAATGAAAAGGTCAGCAGTTTGGTTCAGAAATTCAAAGGTTCCTTCCAGGTTATCTGTTCATGTGGAAAAAACCTAAGGATTTCAGGGGCCTGAAGACTCTAAATGAAAGAAGAATAATGAGGCTTCCATGAGAGCTAATGTGACCACAGTTTGCATGGACAGGACAGTACCCTTGCAGGGTTCCCATAGACAGTAGGAGAATCTCCTGCCCAGAGGAGAGGGCTCAGAACAGCAAAGTAACTACATAGTAGAACTAAACCCCATAGGGTTTTCTTGACTTTAGTTTTCACGGAAGCAGACCACCAGACCTTTTGTGGTGCCACTGGGTGAGTACAAACTGCCAACTCCTTGATTAGTAAGTAGTCAAGTGGAAACACGTTTGCACCACCCAGAGACTCCTTCTAACAATTGTTGTATGCTGTCCAGTCAATTCTGACTCATAGAGACCCAGTGTGAAAGAGAACTGCCCCATAGAGTTTCCCAGGCTCTCATCTTTACAGGAGCAGACTGCCAAGCCTTTTCTCCCATGGAGCACTGGTGGGTTCAAACCTCAGGCCTTTCACTTAGCAGCCAGCACCTAACCATTATACTACCAGGGCTCCACTCACAGCAACAATAACTCACTGCCACCAAGCCTCAAGTTGGTTCTGACGTATAGCTACCCTGTATAGGGCTTCCTAGGAATGGCTGGTAGGTTTCAACCACTGACTTTGTGGCTAGCAATCCAGTGATTTTCCTACAGCACCACAAATCAGGACCTTTAAAAAGTAATACAGATTGCTTTGTAAAGAATTGAGTACTTTATCTAAAAGTGTTCAAAAGAGGTCAAATGGCCACCTGAGCAGAGTGCACAGAGGAGTGGGAGGTTAAACTAGATGATGCCTAGAAGACATAGGAGCTGATCACCTGCCATCAGGTGAGGTAAGGAACAAGGGAGAAAGTGGACTCACTGCTCACTTTAAGTGATGCAGAATCCAGAATGCTCCCAGCACCTGGCTCTCCAGCCATTCAGATGCCTGGGTCCCTCTAGCATCACCACCCCATGATGCTCCATCCTCAGCCCCAACTCACCTGGAGATGGCAAAGAGACCAGTGAGCAATGGGAGCAGCTTGAGGGTGTCCTGGGTCAGGTAGGTGGAAAGCACGGCCAGGTTGAAGAAGTAGAGGATGAAGAGCTGTATGGACTGGGCCACATATCGCCGGTGGATCTCCACCTCCCGCCGGGGCTCCCCAAAAGGCCGTAGAGCAGAAAAGCACAGCAGGCTCAGCCCATATACCAGGATCCCTGGGAGTGGGGGTGGGAGCACATAAGGGTCAGGAAAGGCAGGGGGAAGGAACGTTAGAAGCTGGAGACAGGGTTCAGAATAGAGGGTACAGGCCCCTCAGAAGTAAAGTGCTAGGTTGTACACAGTGGAGCTGAGATGGTCCTGAAAAAGGGTGGACATAGGTGGGCAGGTCCAGCCCATATGAAGGGAAACCCTCCTACTCCCCAAACCAGGCAGGCCCTGCCCTCCTCAAGTCATGTTCCCAGATGCCCCTTTTCTTCTAAAGGATCCCAAACTCACCCAGCACGATGGGGAAGGTGGCAAAGACCCCGCAGCGCAACGTGTTGATCAGGCGAGAACTCATGGTGGGCAGCCGTGGTGCATCAAAGGGCAGGAAGGCATATGCCCCATACAGTAGGCAGGGGAAGAGGACGAGGGCAGCTCCTACTGAAGCCACGGCCCTCAGCCCTTCATGGCTCCCACAGCCCCTGCAGGACTTGCTAGGTGGTCTCACCACTGCCTCCACCCACTTGTGCTCAGGGGGCTCAGGGTAGCTGGCCCGGGCGGGCAGGAAGGCACGGCGCTCTTCCTCTCCTGACTCGCAGCGCACGATGAGATCCTCCTGGGGCCTCAGCTCAACGCATTGAAGGTCAATGGGCACAAAGGCCCGGGCTGCCTTCTCAGGCAACAGGTTCACATCATCTTCATCTTCATGTAGTTCCTCAGGCTTGGTAGGTGGCTCTGATTCCAGGAGCTCTGGCTCAATGCCCCGCCAGCCAGGGGGATCCAGGAATGGGGCACTGGGCTGAGGGCCAGTCCCCCAGGGCAAGGTGGCAGCCTCACTCACTGTGCTGTCTAGGCCATTCTCAATCCCCTCCCCAGCCATGGGAGACCCAACTGAAGACTCCAATCTGGGGGACTCAACTCTTGGGGACTCAGCTCCACCTTCCCCTTCCAGCTGCCGGCCATTAGGAACCAAAGTCTGGGGTGGGCTCTTTTCTGGAGCCTCAGACCCCTTCATTTCCAGCAGGGCTAAGTTCTCAGGTTCTGTCATCCTGAGGTTTCAGTTCTGAGGTCTACAGCCAGGTCATGTCACCCTGGAGGAACAGGAAAGATTTGTCAGACACCTCTGTCCTCTGGCACTTAGGGCAGCCTTATGGGCTTGAGCTCCTTCTGGAGAAAGGTGTGGAAACCCAGGCTTTGATCCAGTTCATTCCAATATAGCCCATTGCTAGGAATTTGCCTTTCCACCCCAGATATACTGAATCTGAATCTACATTTTAACAAGATCCTCAGGCAATTGTTATAGATTCCCAGATCTTAAGAATCACCTGGGGATATTGTTAAACTAGAAATTCTGATTTAATATATATCTGGGATGGAAATGTAAATTCTCAGCAGGAGTCAAAATGAAATGAACCAGTTCAAAGGCCTGTTTGAAACAGAGGAAGGTGAGAGGGAAGTGAGTAGCTGAAATGGAGGAACCCTTTCGACATCCAGCAGGAGAGGGTGACTCAGGGGGCACCAGGTTCTGGCAGCTGTGGCCTCAGCAACCTACCCACGCCTTCTAACTCCCTCCACCAAAACCCCTGGGGTCATTACCACCTTAATCTAGGGATGGGAGAAAGAAGAGATGTCTAGAACTTTACCAAGAGCTTCTCACCAAATATTTCACTGTGATCAGAGAAGCTGCCTGCCACCCCTGCCACCCTCCAACCCCATTTTCCTACCTCCTCTTCTTTCTGTAGACCACCACTTGGAACTGTTCTGCCAATGCCAGTGATTTGCCAATAAATCTGTCCCAAGGACCTAGCTATCCTCCTCAGCTCCAATCTGGGTACTTGGTTAGTTTCCAAACTCCTCACTAACCCACCTCAGTACATCCACAGGGCTGGCTCTGTCCATTCCCAACTTCCAGGTCTAACTGGGGCAGTTTCCCATACCTCCTTTCAGCCTTTCTCCCCACCCTGCCTTTCATTCTCCACCTCACTGCTCTTTCCTCCTCAAGGACCCTTCTATTCCTCACAGTTTGGACCCATGACACCCTCTTACTTTCCATCTGGAGAGAGGTGGAGGGTTCCAGGCATCTGGGAAGGAGCTGTTCAGTTCTCTGCTGACTCTACAAGTATTTCTCTCTCTGTCTCCCTCCCTTTACCTATGTCTCCAAACCAGTCTGACCAGAGCAGGTGGGGCCCAGATTAAAGGGACAGGCCCTTCTCAACTGAGTTGGCCGACAGAAAAAGCATTAAAGGAGGGACTTCACCCTTTCTGAAAATGGGGTGCAGCTGGGCATAGACATTAGTGAGTTTTGTAGGCATGTGGGATGTGTAGGGACTTCCAGTTACAAAAGCAGATTGGGGGAGCGTGGATTTATATATCCAGTGGTATCTGGAATAGATTGGTATGCCAAGTAAAATGTGGAATCTGTACATTTATTCAGTCAATAAATATTTATTGAGCACCTATTGTTAGGTATTATTCTAGGTTTGGGGAGCACGGTGGCTAAGCACTGGACTGTGAGCTATGGGGTTATGGATTCAAGTCCATCAGCCACTCTGAGGGAGACAAGATGAGGTTCTCTGCTCCTACAAAGATTTACAGCTTTGGAAAACCTATACAGGGTCACTATGAGTCAGAAAAGAGTCAGTGGCATGTAACAGCATTATAGGTACTGACACAGAAGAGAGCAAGTTCTTGAGGAACTTATGTTCTATTACTAAACCAAAAAGATCATTTCAGTAAGGAAAATCTCTTTGACAGGGTGACATATGAGTAGAGATCTGATGGGAAAACAGAAATATGAGTGTTCCAGGCAGAGCAACAAATGAAAGGCCAACAGTAGGAAGGACTTAGGCTGTTTCAGGAACAGAAAGATCATGGGGCTGGAACCAAGAGCACAGTTGTGGAAGGGGAATTCATATTCCCATTGCTGTTGCTGTTAAGTACTGTCCAGTTGTTTGCGACTCATAGTGAGCCTATATAGGGTTTCCAAGGAGCGGCAGGTGAGCTTGAGCCACTGACCTTGTGGTTTAAACCTATCTTGCAGTCCAGCACATCAACCGTAGTGCCACACCAGGACACCTGTAAATAGTCCCAGGATCACCTTACCTTTTAATTTATCTGGACTGCAAGGTCGGTTTGAACCCTACAGTTGGCGGTTCAAACTCAACCCTATATAGGGTTGCTATGAGTCAGAATGGACTGTATGGCACTTAACAACAATAACAAGGTTAAGAGAGCAATAGGAATCCAGCGATCCTTCCAACCTGAGAGAGTGGTAGAGAGAGTGGCTTCTTATTCCTATGGGGTCTATCCATAAAGTCACTTGAAACTGTGAAAGCAGGGTTAGTATTTAGCTTGCTCATTTCTGTGTTCCCAGTATGGTGGCTGGAAGACAGCAGGAATTCAATAAACGTTTGGTGTATTGGTGAGAGATAGATGCAAGCTGGAAATCTTTGGGAGGGGGAGTTGAAGGGTGAGGTGCTGGTTGTTGTTGAGTTGATTCCGACTCATAGCGACCCTGTACAGGGTTTCCGAGGCTGTAAATCTTTACGGGAGCAGAAAATCTCATCTTTCTCCTGTGGAACAGCTGGTAGTTTCAAACTGCTGACTCTGAGGTTAGCAGCCCTATTCTATTCGTAACCACTACGCTACCAGAGCTCCTTGAGGTGCCGGAAAAAAAAAGTCATATTTTACCGGGTTTAACGCCTAACTGTTTGACCCTTTCCAAGAAAATTTTAACATACCTTTATTATTATTATTATGAGAAAAAGGGAGATTGACATCACTCTAGTAATCTGAAAGAGTCTCGGCTCAAATGGAAAGGTGGATGAGAGGAAGAAGGATGGGTCAAAAAACCATTGGGGCGATCCTAGCTGTGAGCTCTCCTGCCCCCTAATCCAGTTTGGCTTCAAGGCTCTTCACGGAGTCCACTGTCCGTCCTCCGGCAGCTTTGTCAATAAAGTTTTTCGTAAGCGCTTGGTGAAGCCTGAAAGAGGCCATGCTGCCCAGACTTAGTTCTGGCAACTTCCCGGGAGTGAAACGAGTTTCGCGAGATTTGACAGCAGCCTACAACTTGACTGGCCTACAACTGTGGGCTGATATCGCGAGATTTAGCAGGCGGAGGAGGAGCTGTCGCGGGCAGCCGCCTCACAGCGATGGCGGCCGAACAGGGCCGGCAGCGGTGGCGGCTGCGGCTACGGCCGGAGACGGCAATGGTGGCGGTAGCGGTGGGTGTCGGGGGCCTGTGACCGGGAGCCGTCCCCGGACCCGGGCACCATGAGCCAAGGCCCCCCGACAGGGGAGAGCAGCGAGCCCGAAGCAAAGGTCCTCCACACTAAGCGGCTTTACCGGTGAGAGGGGCCGGGGCTGGAGTGCAGCAGCGGAGGAAAGTGGGGGAACCGCGAGGGGCGGGGCCGCCGGGACGGGCGGGGGCAGGTGCTGGGTTGGGGTGCGGATGAGGAAGGAGGGTGCAATTTTGGAGGGAGCAGAAGGGGCGGGGCTCAGTAACCGGGATGGAGTTTAAAGGAGGAATTGGGTGGGTGGGAGGTTTGGAGGGGAGCACGTGGAGGAGTCTTGTCCGCAGTGAACTTGGGGCGGCACTGAGGTGTGCGGATTTGGTGCTAAAAGAATGGGAATTGGGGGCTGGGAGGACTAGAGAGGTGAGGGTGGGGCGGTAATGTAGAAAAACCCGGAAGGGAACGGTGCTTAGAACCCTGTGGGGATTCCTGCGAGTAGGACCTAACAGAGACCCGGACTGAAGTCAAAGAGAACCAGGTTGAGGTCTTTGCTTTGCATATTCTGTGTGACCTTGAGTCTCAGTTTCCTTGTCCTTAAAAGGAGTGATTTGGGTTGGATAAGCTCCTGAAGTCATTTATGACTAATTTTAAGAGTCTAAATGAGAAGAAAAGGATCACTGGTAGCGTAGTTGTTACGAATCGGGCTGTGAACTTCAGGGTCGGCAGTTCGAAACTACCAGCTGTTCCACGGGAGAAAGATGAGGCTTTCTGCTCCCGTAAAGATTTACAGCCTCGGAAACCCTGTGCAGGGTCGCTATGGGTCGGAACCGACTCCACCGCACATAACAACAACAAATGAGAAGAAAGAGGCTGGCAATCTAGTGTTGGATTGGAAAGGCCATGAAGGACTTTGGGTTCAGGGTGTTCTTTCGACAGGAGAGCCCACTGCAACAAGGCATTTGGGGACTCCTGAGTCGTGTCTTTTCTCCCAGCCTCATGACTGCAGCCCTTGCCAGGCAACTTCCATTCCTGGTTTCTGAGTTCCACGGTGCTACTCACACTCCTAAGGAGCTCTGGTAGCATAGTGGTTACAAATTGGGCTGCTAACCTCAGGGTCAGTAGTTTGAAACTACCAGCTGTTTCACGGGAGAAAGATGAGGCTTTCTGCTCCCCTAAAGACTTACAGCCTCGGAAACCTTACTAGCAGGGTCGCTATGAGTCGGAACCAACTCAACGGCACATAACAAACCCACACTCCTCAAGTCATATCTTCACCCTTCTGTTGCGAACAGGCCAGTGTGAGCTTTTCCCACCCTGGGTTGAGGAGCTGGGGGGTAGAGCAGCTGGAACATGAGTCCCAGAACTGGATCAGAATGGAATAAAGCATAGAGACCTAGTTGCGTTGTTGCCCTGTATTAGTGAGAGGAGTTTGAAGATTTCATTTAATTCAGGCAATATAGAACAAGGATGTTTGCTTAAGGAAACTATCTTTAGAGCCTTGGCCCCCATCTTGGCAGTGAAAGGATCAAGAGCATGTTGTCTTTTCTCTGAGAAGAGGATCCTGCTTGCCATGACTTTGTAAGCCAGAAGGCAGAGTGGAACTTAGACTGCTCCAAAAATAGAAATGTGATCCATTCCAGAAGTCCTGGGCATCCACTGTGGACTGCCTCAAGCCATCCTCAGGCAAGTAAGGAGTTAGCTGGGGGTGGCACGTGTGCCTTGTTATGCTGTTGAGTGTCAGCACTGCATGTCAGACAGAGTGTAGGCATTGTCTGCAACATTCCTTACTAGTCTCCAGCTTTTGTGGTTGGCTCTGGTCATCCTTTTTGTCCTTCTCAAATCTAATTCTTTCTCAATCTACTACCTTAACAGGTCTTACTGACCTTAGCTGGTGTATTTGAGTATGTACTTTACATATGTTCACCTGGGTCTCTCTCCTTGTAATTTTTGGCTTTGAGCAGTGTAGAAATTTAAGGCAGCCAGTTTGTTTTTATTATTATTACAGCAAAGGTGGTGGCAGGAAACTGGGGAAGGAAGGTCTGAGTTCTCTGCCCAAGTTAAATGTGTTGTCAACACTATGAACCTGCCATTCAGCACTGCAGTAAATTTGGAAAACTCCCATAACTTAATTGTCGACACAAATGAAGTTCTGAAATTTTTTAAGCACTCAAGAAAATTCAACAGAAGGGATGCTAGAACAGATTGTTGTTGCGTTGTTAGGTGTCCTCGAGTCTGTTCGAACTCATAGTGATCCTGTGCATGAAAGAACAAAACACTGCCCGATCCTGTGTCATCCTCACAATTATTGTTGTGTTTGAATCCATTGTTGCTATCACTATGTCAGTCCATCTTGTTGAAGGTCTTCCTCTTTTCCTGATCCTCCACTTTACCAAGCACAGTGTCCTTCTCCAGGGACTGATCCTTCTTGACAACATGTCCAAAGTAGGAAAGACGAAGTCTTGCCATCCTTGCATCCAAGGAGTATTCTGGCTGTATGTTTTTTTTTCCATTAAAAATTTTTTTTTATTTATTGAGAACTGAGTGATAGTTTACGTGGGAGAACATCAGCTTTATACCATCATTTCATTGCAATGATTATAATCTCCGTGCATCATCATCAGACAGTATTTGCTTCCATTCCCTCTGTTTTTCTTTTTTTGGGGGGTGGGGCATGGTGGGGAGATGGACCCCAAAACTCTCAGGAATATATAATAATTTAAACAACCAAAGGGCATATTCTGCAAGCCTACCTCCTGGCCGCCAGCTCTCATTCCCTCTCTTTCCATGAGTTAAGAGTCCTCAGCTGCTCCTTCTCTCCATGTCCTCATCTTTGCCTCCATCTCTGGTGTCACTGCTTCTCTGGATAGGAGTCTCGCATTCTGCTTGTGCTCTTTTCCTTTGAAGGTCTTCTGTTTCTGGACTGTAAGATTAATTTATTCTCCCATTTTTGTTACAAAACTTATACCTTTACAATTGTTGACAGTTGCAATTAGTCATAACAATTACTATTGAATATGGCTGTACTTCTTTTAAAACAGATTTGTCTGTTCTTCTGGAAGTTCATGGTATTTTTTTTTTTTTCTAAAGCTATGTTTTTTTAGTTCATGGTATTTTTAATGTTTGTTAACACCATAATTCAGATGCATCGATTTTTCTGTGGACTTCCTTATTCATTGTTCAACTTCCAAATGCTTATGAGCTTGTGTCAGCTCACCTTAGTCCTCAAATTGATATATTTGCTCTTTAACACTTTTAATAGGTCTTTTGCAGCAGATTTGTCTAATGCAATATATCCTTTGATTTCTTTTTTTAAAAAAAGGTTTTATTGTGAATTGAATGATAATTTACATGGGGGAAGATCAGTTTTACACTCATCCTATCATATTTCGTTTCATTGCAATGATTACAGTCCCCTGCATGCTTCATCACTCAACAGTATTTGTTTGTATTTTAACAGTATCCTTTGATTTCTTGACTGCTGCGTTATGAGTGTTGATTGTGGATCCAAGCAAAATGAAGTCTTTGACAACTTCAGTCTTTTGTCCGTTTGTCATGATTTATTGGTCCAGTTGTGAGGATTTTCATTTTCTTTTCATTGAGGTACAATCCATACTGAAGGCTTTGGTCTTCATCAGTAAGTATTTTAAGTCCACTTCAGCAAGCAAGGTTGTATCATCTGCATTTTGTAGGTTGTTAATGAGTCTTCTTCCAATTCTGATGCCACTTTTTTCATATTGTACAGATTGAGTAAGTATGGTGAAAGGATACAACCCTGGTTGTATACCTCTTTTGATTTTTAAACCTTTCAATATCTCATTGTTCTTTTTGAACGACTTGCCTCTTGGTAAGTGTTCTGAAATATCTATTCTTCACAGTGTTATCCATAGTTTGTTATGATCTACATAGTTGAATGCTTTTGCATAGTTAATAAAAGCACTAGAAAACATCCTACTGGTATTCTCTGCTTTTAGCCAGGATCAATCAATGTCAGTAGTGATATTCCTTGTCCTCTTTTGAACCTGGCTTGAATTTCTGGCAGCTCCCTGTTGATGTAATATCGCAGTTGTTTTTTAATTATGTTTAGCAAAATTTTACTTGCATTGATATTAATGATATTGTTTGATGATTTTTGCATTCTATTGGGTCACCTTTCTTTGTAATGGGCACAAACATGAATTTCTTCCAATCAGTTGGCTAGGTAGCTATTTCAAATTCCTTGGCATAGACAAGAGTCAGCACCTCCAGTGCTGCATCAGTTTCTTGAAAGATTTCAGTTTCTATTCCGTCAATTCCTGGAGCCACTTAGCTGACTGAACATCAACCATTTCTTACTGGTGCAGTGACACTGTATTCTTTCCATCTTCTGATGCTTCCTGCATTGTTTAATATTTTGCCCATGTGGTGGTGATGGTTATGTGCCGTGGAGTCTGTTTTGACTCATAGCAACCCTGTACAGGGTTTCTGAGGCTGTAAATCTTTATGGGAACTGAAAGCCTTATCTTTCTCCCGTGGAACAGCTGGTAGTTTCGAACTGCCAACCTTGCAGCTCGCAGTCCGATTCGTAACCACTAGAATCTTTCAGTATCATAACTTGATGCTTGAATTTTTTCTTCAGTTCTTTCAGTTTGTGAAATGCCAAGTGTGTTATTTCCTTTTGGTTTTTTAACTCCAGGTCTTTGCACATTTCATTGTAATTGTTCACTTTTTCTTTCAAGCTGCCCTTTGAAATTTTCTGTTCAGCTCGTTTACTTCCTCATTTCTCCCATTCACTTTAACTTCTTTATGCTCAAGAACAAGTTTCAATATCTCTTCTGACATACAATTTGCTCTGATGACTTTTGCTTTCTTCCTGTATGATGTTCTTGATGTCATCTCACAATTTTTCTCATCTTCTGTCCTTAGTGTCTAATACATCAAATCTGTTCTTGTGATAGCCTTTAAATTCAGATGGGATATATTCAAGGTCATATTTTAGCTCATGAGGACTTCTTTTAATTTTCTTCTGCTTCAGCCTGAACTTGCATATAAGCAGTTGATGGTCTGTTTCATAGTCGGCCCTGGGCCTTGGTTTAGCTGATGATGCTGAGCTTCTCCACCTACTCTTCCCACAGATAGATCAGTTGGATTCCATGTATTCCATATAATGAAGTCCACATGTATAGTTGACTTTTATATCTATCATGAGATCTCCAGCATCATTTCTATCACCAAGGCCATATTTTCCAATTACTGATCCTTCCTAAACACCAATTAGTTAATGGCTGTTAAGTGCCTTTGGTTCCGATTCACAGGGATTCTGTATAGCAGGATTGAGGAATATCCAGCCTGTGGGTCATGCAAGACCTGTGAAATCATTTGGTCTGGCCCTGCCAAGGCAGCTGCAGTTCCAGCCATCACATTATAGCAGTTGATAATCTTGTATGGCCCGTGAATGATGTTATAAATATCCAAATGAATCTCGGCAGAAAAAAAGTTCCCCATCCCTGCTGTATGGGGGAGTTTCTGAGGCTGTAAATTTGCAGGAGCAGAAAGCCTCATCTTTCTCTTGTAGAGCGGTTGGTGGGTTTGAACTGCCGACCTTCTCTTTAGCAATCTAGTGCTTATGCTACAGAGCCCATGTTCCCAGTTAATTATATTGTTGTGTGCTGTCGAGTTGGCTGTGACACATAGTGATCTTGGATAGGATTTCCAAAGTTAGGTGTTTTGTTCAGGATCACTTAGCTGGTAAGGAGTAGAACCATGATTTGGACCTATGCAGTCTTGTTCCAGAGCCTATAGTCTTAACAGTGTGATGAACAGTTCTTTAGTAGAATCTATGGGACTGGATAGGGTGGTGAAAGGTGATCTACCTTACTACTAAGCTGCTCAGGAATCCCCTCCTCCTTTTCATATCCCACTATTTCAGAGCAGAATTGTATAGTAGGGATGCCTTTCCTTTATGTCAGATAATAACTCCTTACATAATAATAATCCACTCATTCCACCATTACGTATTGATTGCCTGTTGTGTACCAGTGCTGTATATAAATTATTTTATCCTCACAGCAGTCCTCTGAACTAGCTGCTGTTTATTATCATCTATTTTAATTGATGTAACTAAGGTTTAAGGAGGTTAGGTAATTTACCCAAAGTCCCAGAGTTCAAAAGATACAACTGGGTTCAATCCCTACATTTTCTGCCTGGTACCACAGCCTGTATTACCTAGTTTCTTTGCTATGACACTTTTGATACTTGTTGTTATGTGCCGTGGAGTTAGTTCCGACTCATAGTGACCCTGTACAGGGTTTCTGAGGCTGTAAATCTTTTGTGGAACAGCTGGTAGTTTTGAACTGCTGACCCTGAGGTTAGCAGCCTGATTCATAACCACTATGCTACCAGAGCTCCTTGATACTTGGGGCCAGGTTTTCCTTTATTGTGGAGGGTGTGGTAGGTTGATTAGCAGTATCTCTGGCCTCTAGTCACTGAATGTTATCATCCTCCTTCCGAGGAGGGCTGTGGGATCAGACTGGAGATGGTGTTCATCTTGTCATCTTTTCCTGGTTTCCCCACCTTTAATTGTTTAGCTTTTACTCTAGAATCAGCATCCTGGTGTCGTGTGTACCATGTATGTGGCTCAAGGACTGTTTGCCTGTCTTTCCTTGCAGGGCTGTGGTGGAGGCTGTGCATCGACTTGACCTCATCCTTTGCAACAAAACCGCTTATCAAGAAGTGTTCAAACCCGAGAACATTAGTCTGAGGAACAAGTAAGCTGGAGACCCCAAACCACAGATTCTGTTGTTTCCTTCATCTGAAACACTAGCCGAAACCCTTTTGTTCTTTTACTTCCTAACCTCGTGCTACCATGATGGGCTGTAAAGTATCTGTCTTTTCTAGGAGAGGAGATACAGCTTCTACATCTAATAGACTGGCACTATAAGAATAACATTTGAGTTATGGGAGTTGATCATAATAACATAATGAAGGGAAACATGGGGTCAAAGAGAAAGGCAAACGGGAAGAAAATGAAGATTTGACTTTTTATTGCTTCCTGCCTCTACCTTTTGGGGTTCCCATTGCCTTCATGGGCTTCTGTTACCTTGGCTCATGTTGACCCTTTGGTGACTTTTGAGAGGCCCAGAGATTCATTGGTGGGTATATTGACAGTTGTCTCTTTGCCCTCAGTCCTGTGTTCCATTTTTTTCATCTCCTCTACTTTCCCAGGCTGCGTGAGCTCTGCGTCAAGCTTATGTTCCTGCACCCAGTGGACTATGGGAGGAAGGCTGAGGAGCTGCTATGGAGAAAGGTATACTATGAAGTTATCCAGCTTATCAAGACTAACAAAAAGGTAAGGGAAGGTCCTAGAACTTGGGAAGGAACTTGTCTAAAGACGGAAAGCTAAGGACAGAGACAGCCAGTAAGTGAGCCAGAGTATGGTCAGAGGTAGAGGATCCAGGGAAGAGATGGCAGAAAGGAGGCAGGGAAGTGTAAGCCTAGTTAGTATTGGAGAACGGGGGGAGGCCAGAAATGGAGATTTAAGTGTTGGGAGGTAATAATGTGAGTGAGCAGAAATGTGGATGAAATTCAGGAGTTAAGAAGATGGCCGTAACTTTATTTCCTCAGTGAGATGGACGGGATGGGAAAGAAGAGTGGTACTCTGTGCTTACTACTTAGCCATCCCCTTCTCTTTTGTAATCTCCAGCACATCCACAGCCGAAGTACATTGGAATGTGCCTACAGAACACACCTGGTTGCTGGTATTGGCTTCTACCAGCATCTCCTTCTCTATATCCAGTCCCATTACCAGCTTGAATTGCAATGCTGTATCGACTGGACCCATGTCACCGACCCCCTCATAGGTCAGTGAAATCTGAAATGTCAGCTTAAAGAACAGGTCACATGCCTATATCTCAGGCATTCATATCCCACAGGGATTGTGTAGCTTGTGACTCAGCCACACAGAGAGTGTAATAGCAAGACCTATGAATGGTTCATAAAGTTCTGATTTATCTAAACAATCATATGCTGCTAGGATAAAGATCTTATGGGAAAAAGTCTCTGTCCATCTGTGGTAGCATCAGTGGAGGATCTGACATTGGAAGATGGATTAATAGCATTTCTCTTCTTCCAGCTCTTTTCTCAGTTAATTTGGCAATAGCTATTTCTTTTCACTTTAGAGCTTATTTCCCAATGTTTGATGAGCATACTGAAATTTTTTTAAATGCTGTGGAAATTAAGGTGATTGTTACCAACTGAGGAATTGGCTACTATAGTTGTACCCCCCCTTTCTAGTTGGTAGTTTTCTCTTTTGTTTAGCCACTCATTAGAGGTTTCCCACCAACTCTTGTTCCCTTCCTCTTCCATTTCCTTATCTGTCACCCCAAACTTCCTCAAAACACAGACTTTGTGGGTCACAGATGGAGCTTGCATCCTTGTCACCACTCTGGCAACATTCTCTGGTCAAAACAGAGAGCACCTGTTCTGGGGGCATCCCTAGTCGTGGCCATGATTCAGCCTATAAAACAACAAGGGCTTCCACACCTGGGATCTTGGGATCCCCATAGGCTCTTTGGAGAGAATTCAAATAGCCCATTAAATTGGATGGAGGGAAAAACTATATAGTAATTTTATTTATCTCTGACTGAGAAGTTAATTGTAAATGTAGGCCATCGCATAGTCATTTTAGCAGGTCTGTCACTTTGTTAGCAATAAATTACTGATGTTTTCATATCGATAGCATTATCATGAAATATATTTTGCACTTATCACCACACTGAAATTATAATACAGGTAGTCTCTGACTTATCATTTTCTTTATAAATCTAGCAGTGTTTTGAACATCTGAGAATGATTTGTTTGTGAAATGCTGTCAGTTCCGACCAGAGCGACCCTGTATAGGGTTTCCAAAGAGCGGCTGGTGAACTTCAACCGCTGAACTTGCAGTTCAAACTGACTTTTCAGGCTAGTGCATTAACCCACAGCACCATAGCAGGACTCCTCTGAGAATGATAATATCAGCATATTACTAATGTTAAAATGTACCAAAAAAAGATCATAAATGCGGTTTGTTGCTGTTGTTAACTGGGATAGGTCTTACATTTGGGACTACCTATAGTTGTTAGATCCTTCATTAGATCTTTATCCAATGTGTTTATAAGAAATCACATACCCTACTCTAGCAGATATTTAAGAAAATAATAAATGTTTCCTGATAGAATTGATTTTCTTTGTATTCCAGTGTGTATTTTTTGCATTTAAAAATATTTTAAAACATTCTTCAGTATTGTCCATAGGCTTTACCAGATGGCTAGAGGGATCCACAGCCTGAAAAAAAAAAAAGATTATAAAATCCTTAACTCAAAGGGCTAATTCTCCAGGCCATTTTCTTGGATCCCTTTTTGGCTGCCCTCTCCCTTTTTGGTTATGAATCGGCTGCTAATCTCAAGGTCAGCAGTTCAAAACTACCAGTGGGTCCATGGGAGAAAGATGAGGCTTTCTGTTCCCATAAAGATTTACAGCCTTGGAAACACTTTGCAGGGTTGCTACGAGTCAGAACCAACTCCACAGCACATAACCACTACCACCACCTCCCTTGTTAGTTTTTCTCTAGTACACCCAAGGAAGGGCTATTCAGAATAGGAAGTTTAGGTTTAGGAATTCTGTTTTTAATGTTTAAAAGGATGATCTCTGGAACCACGATTGCCTTCTGAACCCTAGCTCTGCCCCTTAACTGCTGTGTGACCTTGATTTTTTAAACTGTGAAATAGGAGCAACAGTATAAACTATCTCAAGGAGATACTGTGAGGATTAAGTTTGTTTTGTTAGTATTGTTTCTTTAAAAATAAATAAATAAATAAAAACAGTGTCTGGATTGTGAGAAAAATGCCTTTCAAAATGCTGAAGCTCTCTGAACTGAAAAATAGGGTGAACGGAGAGATGAGAGCTCAGTCATACTTGAATTTGGCTCTCACCAGCCTCCTCAAGCAAGGCAAGCTCACCTTGTCTCCTTCATGGGCATACCCTCATGGGCTGTGTTTTCCATGGACCTCCTCCACTAGGCAGAGGCCAGGAACATTTTGCCTTGGCCTCATTCAGATTTTGTTCTTTTGGCAAGTTTCCCTTTTTTAATTCAACCTTTTTGTAGGTTGCTTTTACTGAAGGCACTGTGGTCTTCCTGATTCTTGAACCTCACTTTTGTCTTCTTTTTGGAAGCCTTCCCATGATCTTTTATATGTTGTTTCCCCAGAGAGGTGCCCTAGGTTGTGGTTGGGGAGGGGGTCCTAGCTCTCGTCTCTCGTTTTCCAGTGTCTTCTTATTCTGCCCTGTCCTGCCCTATTCTGTGATGAATTCTATCTGTGAGCATTTGTATCCCTATCTATGTGCTGGATGTGTGTTTTTTCTGTCCCATCAGACAGTGTTCCAAGGCTGGACCTGGATTTTCAATCTCCTGTCCTCCATATAGGAAAGGTATTTCCCTATAGGTAGAGGGCATAGGAATGGTCTCATAGTCTCTCTTTGTTTCTCTCTCAGGATGCAAGAAACCAGTGTCTGCCTCAGGGAAGGAGATGGATTGGGCACAGATGGCATGCCACCGATGTCTAGTGTACCTGGGGGATTTGTGTAAGAATCTGCATCTTTGCTTTTCTTTCTTTTGGACTACAGTGCAAGCCCAAACTGCTTCAGTTGTTGATGCTGCCTTCTTTGGGATTGGAGAGCAGGAGGAGCCAGTTGCCCTCTCTGATAATGTTTTCCCTGCTTGCAATGATCCCTTTTATGATTCAGAAAAGATCAACGAATACAGATTGACGTAACATGTCTTTGAGCTTTTTGAAAGTCAGCATGGTAACTCTGTGGATTAGTAAAATTTGTATTTGATGTGTTTCTCCTTATTTGGATTAGGTTTTTCTTTTCTCTTCATGGATTCCTAGATGAATAGGAATTTAACAGGAGGGGAATTAAAGTAAAGCCTCAGGAAGGGCATATCTGCTTGATGAATTTTGTTTTTCTTCTTTTTTTTTTTTTGTGAGTTGGTTTATAGAGCAAACCACTTTTCCACTCAACAGTTCATACACATTTTTTTTTCAAGCCATTGATTTGAATCCCTGTAAAGTAACATCACTTTTCCCACTTCCTCCCCATTTCCTGTTTCAATTTCTCCTTCTTCCCTAAACCTGCTGAACTCTGTCTTTGGGTAAATGCTTTTAATCTCAAATGGTTGATTATTCTAAGGAGTGGTTACCTTTCTAGTCTATTGTTCGCTGAAAGTTGAGATATGGGGGTATGTTCAGTTCCAGGCCTGAAGGGGGACTAAGGGCTATATATATATAGTCTTCAGGGTTGACAGATGTTTTTCAGAATGAAAGAGTATTCTTGCTATATGACCTCCTAGGTCCCTAGTTCTGATAAACAGGGGTTCCTCATGTGAATGTTAGTTACATTATCTATTAGTGACCCAAAGCTGCTTTTCTTCCTGTCCTCAGCCTACTCCTAGATTCGTCACAGTACTAGGTAGACCAGAGTGTCATTAGTTATGTCTTCCCTTTAGAATTGATCAGTTACATTCCAGAACCATATAGCAGAGGTCTTTCCAAACTATTATATATGCTGCAACTCCCCTCCATTGGGGAAAGATAATCAAGAAGAGCCTGTTACCTTACAAACACTAAATAATTTTTACATTTTGAACCTACCAGCAAGGAAGAGAGAGTTGAACAATTTACCCATAGTCATGCAGATTTAAGACTGTGCCAGAGACCCAAGCAACCTGCCTCCTAGTTCAGGTATCTTCTTCCTAGGCTCTTATTACCACTGCTCAGAGTGGACTCCCAGACAAGGGAGGTTTTCTGAACATGGAATCATCACATTTCCCTTCCCTCCTTCTCTCTTGCAGCACGATATCAGAATGAATTAGCTGGCGTAGACACGGAGCTGCTAGCTGAGAGATTTTACTACCAAGCCCTGTCAGTAGCTCCCCAGATTGGTAAGTAGGCCCCTGCTTGGGCTTCCCAACCCAGTAACATTTTCCAAGAGGAAGACAAGCTGGCAGGCAGGTTATCCTCACTTTCCCCAGTTTCTCTCCACCCTCGGTTTTCTTACTTTACCTTTTTTTGTTTTAATTTTTTTAAGGTTTTTATTGTGGATTGGGTAAAAGTTTACAGGGCAGATCATCAGTTTTACATTCAACAAATTATACAATACACCTTGTTTCATTACAATGATTATAATGCCCTCCATGTACCATCAGTTAACAGTGTTTCTCTCTATTTATTTTAGCTCTTTTTTATTATTCATTTTAAAATAGAGATTCTGTTCATTAATGAGAACTTACCAGCAAATCAAGCATATGCATAAAACCCGTTTTTAAAACGTTTTTATTATGAATTGTGTGATAGTTTACATGGGAGAAAATTATCTTTACATTCATCCTATCGTATTTTGTTTCATTGAAATGATTACAATGCATGTATCATCAAACAACCAAAGGGTACACCCCGGCCGTCAGCACACAGCCCCTCTCCCTCCCTGAGTCCAGAGTCCCCAGTCGCTCCAAATCTCCACGTCATCGTCTCTGCCTTCATCCCTGGCATCACTGCTTCTTTGGATAGGGTCCTGCACTTCGCTTTTCTCCCTTGATGGTTCCAGGGACCTCCACTGCTGAACTGCAAAATCAACTACTCCCCTCCTTTTGTTAAAAAATGTCTACCTCCTTTACCTTTCCAACACATACAGTGAGTCCTAATAGCAGTCATTCCCTATTGAACCATAAGAGTCTTATCCCCATCACCTTTTATCAGCCCCATCCAGACAGGTTGGAAACAACTCAGTGGAGATTCTACCTTTCCACCTTTCCCCTCTCTATTCACTTTAGCTTTTTTTTAAAGAAACAAAACACTCAGGCATATATAATTTATACCACCCAAAGGCACATTCTGCAAGTCTGCCTCCTGGCCACCATCTCTTAGTCCCTCTCTTTTCATGAATCTAGAGTCCTCAGCTGCTCCCTCTCTCCATGTCCCCATCTCTGTCTCCACATCTGGTGTTGCTGCTTCTCTGGATATGGTCTCTCATTCCACTTGTGCTCTTCTCCCCTGATGATCCTAGGGTCCTTTGTTTCTGGACTGTAAGATTAACTACTCCCCTGTTTTTGTTACAAAATTTCTACCTTTACAATTGTGACAGTCACAATTAGTCATGATAACAATTACTCATTATTGAATCTTATCCCCATCTCTTTTAACCAGACCCATCTAGACAAGATGAAAACTTTTCAGTGGGAACTCTTTCTTTCCCCACACACTATTAAACTAAACTCCCTCTTTTAACCTTGTAAGCCAGTCACTTCGTACCTTTATCGCCCTCTCATTTTAGGTAGCCAATGTCTAAGTTGCCCCTCCCTATCTACCTTGTGTATAGAGAGGGGAGATAGCATTGATACTCTTTCCCTCTGTTGGTATTTAGAGTTACTACCTCCATGAATACAGGGAATACAGGTCAAAGTTCATCAAATTGTAGCAATTTACCCTTGTTTCCTTTATCAAAATTTATTTTGTTTTAATTTTCCTCTAGTTTCTTACTTTACTTTGGTCATGCTTTCTTCCCCTTGTAACACATGATCAGAAGCTGGTGGAAAGGAAAGAGAAATGGAAGTTGAGCTTTAAGAAGGTGGGAGGAAGAAAAGAAGGAAGAGAGCAGATGATGACTTCCCTGTCCCTGAGGTCTTGCTAGAAAACAGAGCTCACACTTTGGCTGTGAGAGAAGGGATAAAACTGTGTTAGAGAGAGAGGTGGGGGTTAACATGTAGGAAGGAGAACTCAGGTGAGAATCTGAGCTGGAAAGATAGAGACAAGGGCTCTATAGAAGGACCCACCTTAGAAGAGCCAAAGAAGTGGCACCCCTTCAATGCCAGTAACTTCTGGTGGGCCAGACCAGAATAGACTGATGGGAGGTGGGACGAATGGGTAATCCACTGGAGGGACAATTACTCTCATGTTGCGTGCAGGTCTGCTGTACTCCCTACTAGCACTCTCATGCTTAGCATTGGTTGGGCTTGGCTGTTTTGGGGGAATAGTGTGGTCTCAGGCTGTATAACTTCTCTCTTATTAGGAATGCCCTTCAACCAGCTGGGCACCCTTGCAGGCAGCAAGTACTATAATGTGGAAGCCATGTATTGCTACCTGCGCTGGTGAGTATTAGTTGACTCTTTCCCAGCCCTGCTTAGCTTTTTCTGTCCCCAGCTTCCCTTCTCCTGGCTGAGAATGATTGAGGAATGCTAAAATTCCCTCTGGAATTTTCCCTCCCTCTGGACCCTGACACAGCTTTGTTGCTTTTTACTCAGTCGACTTAGACAGCTAAAAGAGCTAGCTACCCACCAGCTTATGCAAAATTCAAGATTGTGGTCTTCCTGAAGAAGGAAAAAAGTTTGATAAAACGTTAACTAAAGTGGTCTCTCTGGTGGTGTAGTGGTTACGAGTCGGGCTGCGAACCTCAAGGTCTCCTGTTCCACGGGAGAAAGATGAGGCTTTCTGCTCCTGTAAAGAAAGCCTCGGACACTCTATGCAGGGTGACTATGAGTCAGAACCAACTCCACAGCACACCACTACCACTAAAGTGGTCTCTGGGAGTCCTGATGTAGTGCTGTAGGATAAGCACAGGACTGTTAATCGCAAGGTCAGTGGTTCGAACCCACCAGCCTCTCCTTGGAAACCCTATATAGGCAGGGTTGCTATGAGTCAGAACCAACAAGACAGCACTTAACAACACAACACTACCACTACCCAAAAGTTGCCTCTGATATGAACTTTAGAATTTAAAAAAAATTTTTTTGTTATTTGTTGTTGATAATACTCAAAACATATATCAATTCAGTAGTTTCAATGTAGTGGCATTGATTAGATTCTTTGAGTTGTGTGACCATTCTTACCTTTCTTTTCTGACTCTGTTCCCTAAGGTTCCTATTTTTAATCTTTTGATTTGCTGTTTTCACTTTGATCCCATATTGTTGTTGTTGTTGTTGTTGTTGTTAAGTGCCTTCGAGTCGGTTCCGACCCATAGCGACCCTGTACAGGGTTTCCGAGGGTGTAAATCCTTATGGGAGTAGAAAGCCTCATCTTTCTCCCGCGGAGCAGCTGGTAGTTTCGAAGCTGACCTTATGGTTCGCAGCCCGATTCGTAACCACTACGCTACCAGAGCTCCTATATAGATAGTATTTAAAAGAGCATTATGCTCTAGGCAGACCCTTTTTTTAAATAGTTACATTAAATTATTATTTGGTTTTAAGAAAACTTTGGGGGATGTTTTGGCATAATTTTTAAAGATCTCGGGAATGGTTTTAGGGTTTCATCCAGTCCCCATAGCTCTAGATAGTCTGGTGTCCATGAAATTTTTAAAATTCTGGACTGCGTTTTCTCCCTTTTGATCAGATTCTTCTAGAGAATTTTGCATCAAAATATTTAGTAATGGTAGGCAGGCACCATCCAGTTCTAGTCTCATGGCAAAGGGGGCAGTTATTCATGGGGGCAATTACATTCCATTTCCTCCTCATATTCCTGACTTTCCTTTTTCTATTGCTCTGGGCAAATAGAGGCCAATTGTTGTACTTTGGAAGGCCATTTGCAAGCTTTTAAGACCCTAGACACTATTCATTGAGCTAGGTAGAACAGAGAGCTTCAGTCTTGATGAGAAAGAGAGAGTGCAGAGGACTGGTGGGTAGCTTGGCAGGCAGAGTACAGTATTGTTTATTAGGATCTTGCCCTCAGGAGGAAAAAAAACCAATTTTGTTAAGGTATACACAGTTGATTAGGCGTAAGTTAGAGTCACCATAACCAAACGCACATGAGACACATAGGGTAAAAGTGAAGTTATATTGGTGAGAAACACTTCCAGGAAAATGGAAAAACTTAACTGTTGTCACCTAATCAGCAAAGCTCTTGGGGTATCCCTTCTCTTATTCTAGGTCTATGCAGAGTGTGGTGTCTTACACCATTACTTTCATTTTAAATATGTTTACCAGGTTGATAACTGGTTGGCATTGGACCAGATGACATTTCATTCTGTTAGACATACATTCGTCATGAGTCAAAGCTGAGTTGACAGCAACTAACAACAGTTGAGATAAGTTTGTAACTTACTATAGGATTAAGTGTCCTATTTATACATATAGAGGAGATGAAGGCATCTTTACTCTGATTAATCTGGAAGAATTGTGTGTATGTGTGTTTCATCAGAGAGAAAGGTGGCTCATGAATGTTTCACTTTGAGTATGTACATGGCAGGCTGAGCAGCCAGGGGCGGCTTATAGTTACTACTGTTTAGTCCTGGGTGGTAGAAACAGTTAACATGCTCAACTGCTAACCACAAAGTTGGAGGTTTGAGTTCACCCAGAGGTATGGCAATCTATTTCTGAACAAAGCAGCCATTAAAACTATGGAGCACAGTTTTCCTCTGACACACAGGAGTTTGCCATGAGTCAGAATCAACTTACGGCAACTGGTTTTACTACTAGTATTAGTGGTAACATCATTCCCTTAGGCTTGGTGGAATGACCTTTCTCTCCTCTCTACCTCTGTTCCTGCCAAAACACAACAGTTTACTTCTGTCTCCTTCAGCATCCAGTCAGAAGTGTCCTTTGAGGGGGCCTATGGAAACCTCAAGCGGCTATATGACAAGGCTGCCAAAATGTACCACCAGCTGAAAAAGTGTGAGACTCGAAAGCTATCTCCTAGCAAGAAGAGGTGAGTGGGGCGGCAGAGGTCTTTCTGCAGTTGGTGTAATGGGACCATTAAGGATTCTGGAGCCATTGAACACTTACCTTGGACTCATGTCATTTCAGATGTAAAGACATTAAGAGGTTGTTGGTGAACTTTATGTATCTTCAAAGTCTTCTACAGCCCAAAAGCAGGTGCGTGGGAGAGAACATGAGCAAGAACTATGTCTTGAGCCCCAACTTGGACCACTCCTTTACAGAGGAGGATTTGTAGGGAAGGGATTGGACTGTTGAATTCTGTCTCTCATTTGGAACTTCTTTACCCAGTTAGTCCTGCCTTGGCATCCCTCATTCTTTTTCTTGGTGGTTCTATACTCATCCTCTGTCTCCAGACAGTGCCCCCTCTGACATGGAATGAATGGTTAATAGACGTTGAACACAGGGTGTGGCTGAGAGGGAAGTCCTTCGACAGGAAAGTCTGTCTTCCTCATGTTTTGTCTGCTTTGGAAATCAGCTGCTCTCTCTCAACAAAGCAGGAGTCTTTAGTTTTCTCTGAATCTTGTTTTCGTAACCTTTAGCCTTATTACTCCTATCCTTTTGCAGCTCGGTGGACTCGGAGCTAACATCACTTTGCCAGTCAGTCCTGGAGGACTTCAACCTCTGTCTCTTCTACCTGCCCTCTTCACCCAACCTCAGCCAGTCCAGTGAAGATGAGGAGGAGTATGAGAGTGGCTATGCTTTTCTCCCGGACCTGCTTATCTTTCAAATGATCATCATCTGCCTTATGGGCGTGCACAGCTTGAAGAGAGCAGGTAGCCCTCCTTACGCCCTTCTTTCCTCCCCTGCTGACTTCTGGGATCTTCACGGCCCTTTTCTGTAGTTCTTACTCATAAACTTCCTTCCTTGCAAGCTGTCTTCATCTGTGTCACTGTGAGGGTGAGGGGCAAGGAACATCTGGGGCACGAGCAAAGACAGCCACACATTCACTTCCCCCACCTTCCTGCCCTCTGCCACAAACACATCTAACCTTGGCCAGGATCCAAGCAGAGACAGAGTCGGGATGCTTAACTGATGGTCCAGACAGAATTCGGACCTGTGGTTGGGCCTTGATTGGTCCTGGAAATCTTTCTGGCAGAGGATTGGAGGAAGGGAGGGCAGGACAGGGCTAGGTATGAATGTGCTTGGGGCATGATGAAGAGACTGTGTTCAAATTATCAAAGCCAGGGAGGATAAGGTGGGGCATGAGAGCATACCTCCATGAGCGAGTGTGCTGTGACTTGGCACGTTTGAGATTACATGAGGGATGATGGTGTAGAGACCTGGGAAATCTTACTTCCCTTGGTGGCTGTGTGCCGTGGAGTTGGTTCGTACTCAAAGACCCTGTACAGGGTTTCCGAGGCTGTAAATCTTTACGGGAGCAGAAAGCCTCATCTTTCTCCTGTGGACCAGCTGGTAGTTTAGAATTGCTGACCTTTCAGTTTGCAGCCTGATTCATAACCACTACGCTACTAGAACTCCATTACTTCCCTTAGGAGTAGCTTTAAAAGGTAGTTGGGTCTTTGGAAGGGTTAAGAACAACTGGGGTTGGTTGGACTTGATGCAGCCTACTCATCAGGCCCCTAAATCCTGGCCTTTCCTGGCTTTAGGATCCAAACAATACAGTGCAGCCATCGCCTTCACCCTGGCCCTTTTCTCCCATCTCGTCAATCATGTCAACATCCGCCTGCAGGCTGAACTGGAAGAGGGCGAGAACCCTGTGCCAGCTTTCCAGAGTGACAGCACAGGTGCAGGAATGGGGCGGCTGTGATTGGAATGGTTGGCATGGGGCATAGGCACAAGGGAAGAGGAGTATGAGTGTTGGGAGGGAGATAGGTTGGAGAGGACATCCCAGCTTTGAGGTTCCACTTTTCCCCAAGGCTCCACCTGAACTTTTTCTTTTCACAGATGAGCCAGAGTCCAAGGAACCACTGGAGAAAGAGGAAGAGCCAGATCCTGAGCCACCTCCTACAGCACAAGTGGGCGAGGGCAGAAAGAGCCGTAAAATCTCCCGTCTCTCTTGCTTGCGCCGCCGCCGCCACCCGCCCAAAGGCGGTGATGACAGTGACCTGAGTGAAGGCTTTGAATCCGACTCAAGCCGTGACTCAGCCCGGGCCAGTGAGGGCTCAGACAGTGGCTCAGACAAGAGTCTTGAAGGTGGAGGGACGGCCTTTGATGCTGAGACAGACTCAGAAATGAACAGCCAGGAGTCCCGATCAGACTTGGAAGATATGGAAGATGAGGAAGGTGTGCGTTCCCCATCTCTGGAATTCCCCCAGGCCAGGTCAGAGGCTCCTGAGTCCCTCAATGGCCCACTGGGTCCCAGCGAGGCCAGTATTGCCAGCAACCTACAAGCTATGTCCACTCAGATGTTCCAGACCAAGCGCTGCTTCCGACTGGCCCCCACCTTCAGCAACCTGCTCCTTCAACCTCCCACTGAACCTCACACTTTGGCCAGCTATAAGCCCTGTGTCAATGGGGATGTGGACAAACCCTCAGGGCCAGGTATTTGAGTCTCCTGTCATTGTTCTGTTCTGGTCCACATCTCTGCCGGGGACACTCAGGGAAACCACTTTCCACTTCACCTGTGCTGTATGACCTGTAGTCTTCTGACTGTAGAGTAGCCCAGGAGACTTGCCCTATGAGAAACCCCTCTGCTCACTTCCTCATTCTTCGCTCCCACCCCATTTCTTGGTCTTAATGAAGCTTTGGTCTCGTCTCTGCCCAACTCCACCCCGCTGTCTGGGTTTGGGGCTTTCCTTACCACATAACAACTGCTTCCTTCATTGATGCCATCCTAGGCCCCTCCAGGCTTCCTGAAAGCTGGACAAACCAGCTTCCAAGACAGATAAATTGTAATGAGACTTATCTCTTGAGGATCTTCCTTGCCAAGGGAGTATCCATGCAGTTCCAAGTGTTTGTTGAGCTTATTCTTTGCCAAGCTTTAGGCTGGATTTTTTTTTTTGAAAAGATGTTCTCTTTTTTATGTTTTACAACAATCTTGTGGTGGAAGCACTGTCATCCCTACTGTAAGTGCTTTCCTTTACTTCTGCTTTTGGACATGGTATACCCTCTGGCTAAAAAAATAGTTTTCCTCTCTTATCCTAAGATTTTTATTTAGCTAATTTGTTTCCCTTCTAGATTTTAGCTTGAAAGTTACTTCATCTGGGATTCATCCAAACCTAGGTTAGATTTCCTTCCTGTGGGCTTCTTTCTTCCCAGCCTAGTGAAGTAGTCTGTTGACACTGCAGTATCTTCAGTACCTGACGCAGTGGTTGCCATATGGTCGGAATTTAGGATTGTATCAGTGAGAGAAATGAGAAGCTGATGCTCAAAGAGGGGAAAGGACTTGCCTAGTGTCATAACCTCTAGAATGGAAGAACTAAGAGTTGAAAGAAGGTCCTTTAATTCTGGACTCCTTTTCCTCTCTCTCCCTTGTACCTTCTCTCTGTCTGCCTTGCCTTGAGTAAAGAGACGGTATTTCATAAATACTGATGAGTCAATAGCTGTAGACTAGCTGGCAAATGAGCTTGAGTCATATTTTAAAAACTCAAGGTTTTTGACTTAATAGCAATTAGTTAATAGACCTGAAGATACTGAGCAAGGATCTGTTAGTAAATTCTCCATCTTCGGTGTATCAGAACGGTGTAGAAAGAGTCCAGGCAAGGCTGGTGGGACATGTTTTCCCCCACAGAGCTGAGGTCAGATGCCCAGTGCCTATTGTTCATCTCAGTTTTTCCTCTTCTACTCACCCCCCTGCTCCCCAGCCTCTGAGGAGGGCTCTGAGTCGGAGGAGAGTGAATCCAGTGGACACTCCTGTCGGAATGAGCGCAGCATCCAGGAGAAGCTGCAGGTCCTGATGGCTGAAGGCCTGCTTTCTGCTGTGAAAGTCTTCCTGGATTGGCTGAGAACCAACCCTGACCTCATCATCGTGTGTGCACAGGTGTATCTGCTGTCCTTTGTCAGGTGCTAGGGGGTTGGAGGAGGGGATCCATCAGGAGGGCGTGGAAATCCCCTCAGATGGTTTCAACAAAACTAGAATTGCTGAGCACCCACTCTGCTCGGCCCTTTTGACAAGAGAGGGTTTAGGCATGAGCTGTGCCCTCAGAGAGTCTGCGCCCGGGCTGGGGTACAGATCTTGTGAACTGGGAATAGTGAGTGGACAATATGCCCTGCTTTGTGTTCCTATGTCTGCCATTATCAGTGATGTTGAATGAATAAAATGAAAGGATGTTTGAGGGCTGAACTTAATATTTCAAATTCTAAAAGCCAAAAAATTGAGAGAACGAAGAGGGTGTTTGGTACAAGATGGTGACAGAAGAGATGGATCTAGAAGTGGTTGATCTTCAGACAAGGGGTGTTGTGAGCTAGGCAGGGGAGCAACTGAAGGGGAGTTGTGAGGCTGGGTGGGGGACAGCAGCCCTCTCCTCCCCAGATTCAGAGTCTCCATCTTCAGTCACTAGGTTCCAGACGCTCTTAGCCAGTTCTTTTAGTTCAGTAGTGTCCCTGCCCTTCATGAAGACACTCTTCCCTGCATTTGTCCCCTTCCCAATCCAGAGAGATTGACTCTGGGTCAGGCACACCCTTGGGTGTGTGCTTCTGTCCTGTGGTAACTGGTTCCTCAGTCATTATTAGTCATTGAGGGAGTTGTGATTTAAAGATGGAAATGTTGGTCATGTCCCTGGAGAAGTATTCCAGGAGAGCCGAAAGAAAATGTTTCTGCTTGATGTGGAGCAGCCACCTCCTCCAGCATAGCTTCTCCCAACATTCAGAGTGCCCTTCCAGTGGTCTCACTGCTTTGGAGCATTCATGTCATGTTCAGAGCACTCCATTGTCCTTTATCATCATTCCTCAGGGGACCAGCTCTTGGTTTTCAAAGCCATGATGCGCCACTTGGTCTCTGGTTAATTTTTCTGTTCAGTCCCTCAGGCCTCCAGCTGTAGCCTATAATTCTCCCAAGTGTAGTGCTTTTCTTGGTCACTGTAGCCTTACACCACTGCCCTTTACTGAAGACCTCCTCACCCTCTATTTCCATAGAGCTCCCAAAGTTTGTGGAACCGTCTGTCTGTGTTGCTGAATTTGTTGCCAGCTGCCAGTGAACTCCAGGAGTCTGGTGAGTAAGTCCCTGGTGCTGCCTTTCTTGTCCCTCTCCCTCACTGGCCCCACTGTGCCCATCCCCCTCCTGGTAACCCAGTCCATGGGGTAAGGAGGTTAATGGGATTCACTGCCCAGCCTCCCCAGTACACAGCAGTCATTGTGGTGTAGCCCTCTCCAGTTTCCTATCCAACTTAGCTCCACTGTGGGCAGGTGGCCTGGTCAGCTAGGGAGTGTGTTCCCAGGGGGAGAGTAGGGGGGCGGGGTGGAGCAGCAAAGTGAGAACAAGAGGAGCTTAGGAGCCAGCTGCCTGTGGTCGCTGACCTGAGCACATCTGTCTGCCCCACTCTCTCCTACCACGTTCCAGCTGGTGAACACCACCACCTCCCTTGCAGAGCTCCTTAAGCCTCTAGAACTCCTTCCCCTCTTTCTCTGCAGTCTAGCTGGTCCTTCTGTCAGGAGCCTCTGAACTCTTGCCTGTCCAGCTCTGCTTTTCTCACCTCTCAGCCCCAGTGTGCTAGAGCTTGGGCTGAATCTTGTGTTTGTCTATCTCTCCACTTTCTACTGCTCCTCCTTCTCTCCCCACTTTCTGACTTAAAGCATATCCTAGGAATTCCCACAGGGCAAGGCCTGTGTCCCTCTGACTAGGGGCTCTTGCAGGCGGGTGGTCTTATATGTCCTTTCTTTTCTAGGCCTGGCTCTGTGTTCTGAGGTCCAGGATCTTCTTGGAGGCTGTGAGCTGCCTGACCTGCCTCCTTCCCTGCTACTGCCTGAGGACACAACTCTTCGCAACCTGCCTCCCCTCCGGGTTGCCCACAGACGCTTTAACTTTGACACAGATCGGCCCCTGCTTAGCGCCTTAGAGGAGGTGAGTGTCTCAGTGCAGTAGCAAAGCAGGGGCCTCAGGGTTGGGGGGATCAGGGTGTCCTCTCCCTTCTAGCAGGGAGAAGTATCTTTGGACTGGCTACAGCCATTTTAGCTCTTCTCTCGCCTTGGCAGAATGTCCTTGCAGACATTTGCTGTTCCCCATCTTCTGTAGAGGATAAGGCACATTAACCACTAGGACTTTGAAATCTTGCTCAGTGTCTTTGCTACTCTGGGCCCAGCCTTCTCTTCAAATACAGAAAGTTGGAGGTAGAAGGGAACATGCTGCCCATTAGTCCAGTGACTTTCACTCTTGGACCTGTCACCACACAGGCCATGTGGGGGCAGCAGAGAGGAGCAAGTAGGATTGGGCTGCCAGCACCAGCCTTTCCTACCCCCTCCGCCCAACACACTACATCCACACATCTCCCTCAGCAACCAGAGCAGCTTGCCTTTATTATATTTTAGGGTTCTAGATAAAGTTTTATTTGAGGGAAAAGAGTTTTGCTGACCCAAAAATTAGTTGAAAAAATGTTAATCTAGTCCAGTTCCCTCATTTTACACATGAGTGCGACCAGAAGTATAAAAGGTGGCACTGGATCCCAGGTCTCCTCACTCTCAGTCGGGCCCTTTTTCTTTCTTCCCAACGTCGAGCCTGGTTTCCTGACCATCCCTGTAGTCTATTTGCCCTACTTGCTTATTCCTATTCTGGAAACTAGAGAGACTCTGGGCCTCAGTGCTCCTCTTTCCCATTCCATAAGCCTTTCGAGGAGCCCTTGTTACTGAGCTGGGGACTGAGTGGTAAAGTCCTGATTGGCTCAGCTGGGTTGTATCTGTGTCCCTGTGTCTCCAACAGTCGGTGGTGCGTATCTGCTGCATCCGAAGCTTTGGCCACTTCGTTGCTCGCCTGCAGGGCAGCATCCTACAGTTCAACCCAGAAGTTGGCATCTTCGTCAGTATCACCCAATCTGAGCAGGAGAGCCTGCTACAACAGGCCCAGGCCCAGTTCCGCATGGTGAGTCAGGCCCTGTTCTCTGTGAGTTCTGCTTCCATTGTGCTTGCTGAGAAACCAGTGTCAGAGGCTCAGACTGGGAAAGGGGTTGGAGAAACCAAGCCTAGGGAGAGAGGAGGACTGGAAGAGATGAAAGATGGGGATGACAAGGTAGCCATGGGGGAGACTGACCTGCATCCAGGTCTGACCTCAGTCTGAGGACCAGCCTATGAATTGAGCAATTCACTTACCTTTGCTAAGCTTGCCTACTTATTGGTTATGTGAGCATAACAATCAACTTCATGGGTTTTTGTGAAGGTGAGAATGATAGTGCAGGTAAAGTGTCTTGCATATTGCCTTATGGAGGGCTGTTTGTCATTATTAGTCATTGAGGGAGTTGTGTTTACAGCAGATGTTCCCTTCCCTTCAGCCCCTGCTGGTGTCCTTCCACTTCCACTAAGTCTTAATCCCATCAAGGCTCCAAGAGTGGGCAGTGGCTGTTACCTCTTTTCATTCAGTCATTTCCCACATATTTATTGAGAGTCTGTCTGTTCTGAATCAGAAACATCGGTATTCTAGGCACCAGGGTTCAAACAGTGAACAAGACAGTCCTTTCTCTTGTAGGGCTAATACTTAGTGAGCAATAGGCTGGGTTCCACAGTGAGGCCTGAACAACCCTGGGCATATTGTCCTTCCTGGGCCAAGTGACACCAGTACATTTTGGGTGTTGGTGTCTGGCACATGCAGCACAGTCCACATGTCCCAGCAAGCCTCAGGGTTCTTTCTCCCAGGCCAGGCCAATCTTCACCCCCAGTCTTCCTTTACCTCAGCCCCAGGCCAGCAGCTGCCCCACCCTCTCTGAGCCTCACCCACACCCCCCTTTCCTACAGACATTTTACTTCTGGGAAGGAGCACCATCTCCTCTAAAAATTCACTTCCCTGCTAGCTTAAAAAAAAGCAGATTTTGTTTTAAAAAACCTTTCATGTTAGGCTTTTGTTCCTATTCCACTGGGATAACACAAGGTGTTATAGAAATAATTATGGGGAAGTTACACAGCTTCAAAAATAGGAACGTTTTTGCAGATATTTCCTCTAGCCTACAGCTCCTGAACACTCCTCTTGCAGGCCAGGGGATACCTGAAAGCCCCTCTCCCAGGGTGCTGGACAGCACAGGCCAAGCCAGATGCAGGTCACAGTGCCTGCCGGGGCTGCCTTCTGTCAACCTCTGCCCAAGGGCCTGATCCCCTGAGAACAGCACTAGTAGTCCCATTGCTCTGTCTGGTCATTAAATGAGCGCTTTCTGTGTGTGAAGCTTGCTTTGCTGGTACCATCTCATTTAACCCTTGCAGCAGCCCTGTAAGGTAAGTCAGCACTCATTTTCTAGATGAGGAAGCATAGAAGGTCTAGCCATTGGACAAACTAGAGTTCTTGTCCTGACTGTTTAGCTGTTCTGGACATAACCTCTCTTCAGGTCAAGTCGGCACCAGGAGCCATTGTACCTACTCTCTGGGACCCCACAGTTTGCCTAGTTCAAGACTCCTCTCTTACTGATGGGACCTCTAAGGAGCATGCAGGCCCAGTTTATCTGTCTGTCTCTCTGCTGGCACTCAAGAGCATCTCCTTAGAATTTCCCTCACCTGCACTAGTTCTTTGGGGTGAACTACACATCTTCCTTTGGAATATGGATTTTCAGAATTACAGTTGTTAACCTGAAAGTGAGATTCATGGGATTGCTGTCTGCAGTGACAGACAGGACCTGGGGTAGGGTGGCTCTCACCGAGGTTCTGGTCTTCCTTTCTTTCATCTACCTTTCATCAAAGAAAGGTTCCCTCCTTTCTTTCATCTACCAGTGTTTCTCAAAGTACACACTTGGCCTTTGGGCAGGACTGTGCAGTGGGAGGGAGGTCTTGGGGAGGGATCTGCAGAACCATAGTATAATGATCAAAACTAAGAAATTAGCATTGCTACAAGAAAACCAAAAAACCTGTTGCCATCCAGTTGATTGTGACTCATGCCGGCCTGTGTGTGGCAGAGCTGAGCTGTACCATTGAGGTTTTAATGGCTGCTTTCTCAGAAACAGATCACCAGACCTTTCTCCTGAGATGCTTCTGGGTAGACTTAAATTTCCAACCTTTTGGATAACAGCCAAGTCCATTAACTCTACCATTTGAAGAGTATCAGCCATTATGTAGAATGTCCTTCAGTTTGGGTTCTCTGAGTAGATTAGGGTGATGCATTCCGTATTAATGTTTTAAATCACCTATTTGGTGATGTTACTTGACTTATCAAAAATCAAAAGCTTTCAGTGGTTCTCTGTTTCTTATAAAGTAGTGTTGCCATCCTTTAACCTGCCTAGCCTTTTAGACCATGTAAAGAATTTGAACTTCATCCAGAAGAGGATTTTCACTCGGGAGCATATGGGTGTCAAATAGGTTTGGAAAAATTGCCTTGGTTGCAGGTGTAGAAAATGGATTAGATTTAGAGCCAAACCTGTGAGGAGGATGTGACACAGTAGTCAAGTGAGGGATGTTGGCTTGGACTGGGGTTGCAGTGTTGCAGGTTGAGGGCTGGGGTTAGTTTGAATGGTACTGAGTCCATACAGCTGACAAGTCTTGTCAGCTGTAAACTTCTGGGACTGAGAGGCCAACTCTGAGCTTTCTGCCTTGGGTAGGTAGGCGGTATGTTTTTCATGGTCTAGGGAACACCGGGGTTCAGGAAGCCAATTCTGTTGAGCAGATGGGGCTGTTGAGGAGGCAGTCTGGAACAGAGAGATGGCCAGGTCTGGGCTGAATCTACAGATTTGGAAGAAGTTGGCCAATGGTTGTAATAAAAGCCCAGGATGGGTGCATGGATGGTGTCTTCTGAATGGGGACTACAAATTGAGAGTAGAGACCAAGCCCTGAGATGCAGCCAGTATTTAAGATGTAGAGACTGAGAGTGACTTAGCTGGGAATGCGATGGTACAGCCAGGTGACACCCTGCACGGTGACAGTGTGAGCCATCTCCCTCACCCCCAGGGTGCCCAGAACATCACCAACCTGCAGTACGTTGGTAATGGAAGTTCTTATGGCACAAAAGGACAATTTTCTTCAATGCTTCCTTTCCCTGAGTTTAGTAAGTATGACAAGGAGGTGACTTAAGTGAGAGGCCACAGCTATTTCAGCTTCCAGACTTTTTCTTGGTCTTCCTGGTCACTGGGGAAGGAAATAATACCCTCAACTCCTGACTCTAAGCATATCACTTGGTGTTTTCCTTATAGGCACAGGAGGAAGCTCGGCGCAACAGGCTAATGAGAGACATGGCTCAACTCCGGCTTCAGGTGGGATATCAAGGTCCAAATGCTCTTCCTCCTGATTTATTTGGTCATTGCTTAACCCCTTCTGGCAGCTTCTCACCCTCCTGCTTTGTCCCGCTATGGCCTTCCACTTCTCTCAGATTATCTTCCTGCTCTCACTTGACCCCCGCCATTCTGTTCATTGTTCAGTGAACCTCGGTGTCCTTTGTCTTCTTCACCTGTGTCTCTTTCTCTTCTCATTCTCCTTCCCTTACCCTTTGTTTCCATCTACATTTTGCCCAAGGTTATTGGTAGAAAGAGTTCCATGTCCCCCATATAGCAGGAGGACCACCTTGAGCAGTACCCCCCCACCCCCACCCCCCGTCTGGGCTGCAGGACCCCCACAGCTCCACCACCTGCTTTCTCTTACCAGCTTGAGGTCTCCCAGCTGGAGGGAAGCCTGCAGCAGCCCAAGGCCCAGTCGGCCATGTCGCCCTACCTTGTTCCTGACACCCAGGCCCTCTGCCACCACCTCCCTGTCATCCGCCAGCTGGCCACCAGTGGCCGCTTCATTGTTATCATCCCAAGGACTGGTAAGTATATTAGGGAGGTGTAGGTCAGGTGGAGTGTGGTTAAAAGAAACCGGGCTTGGGATGGAAGGGCCCTTATTTGGGGCACAATTTATACATAGTGCCTTGGTCCAGTCCCACAGCTTTTCTGAGTCTCCATCTCTTCATCTGAATTGGACATAACAACTACTGCTGAGCCCTGTCTTCCAGAATAGTTGGGAGAAATAGATAAAAGCACTTAGTAAATTGCTGAGTGCCTTGCTGGTAGAGGTCCTATTTTAAGGAACTTGGGGAGCCCTGTGAAGATCCAGGGTCCCTTATCTTCCTGCAGTGTGTATGGGGTGAGTGCAGGTACTATCTGGGAAGCCTTTGTCGCGGCAGCCTGAGCTCATCGCATTTGTCCTTCCCTATCTCCACTTTGTCCGCCAGTGATCGATGGCCTGGATCTGCTGAAGAAGGAACACCTAGGGGCCCGGGATGGGATCCGATACCTAGAGGCAGAGTTTAAAAAAGGAAACAGGTGGGTGAACCCCCTGTCTCCCAGACAACAAATATTTATGAGCTACCTACTATGTGTTTTTGCTAGAGATTGATTCTCCAACTGCTGGGGTGAGTAAGGCACACACCTTCACAGTCTGCCCTCCATTTGCTCACTGCCTGAGGAGGGAGCCCACAGAGTTCCCCCGAAGTCAAGGTTCTTAGATGCTGCCGTTGGGGTGCTCAGAGGGGCCAGGAGCCCTGTGTGGGGAGCACTCGGCAGCTGTTCATTTGCCTGGACAAAAATGTGACCACACCCCTTAGATAATAGGTCACCTCTCTCCTCCCAATCTAAGCAGTGGGCTGTATTTCGCTCAGCCCAACCAGGGTTGAGTGCACAGGGCAGCTTCTTCTGGCCTATGAGGAATGAGTTAGGGAGCAGGGAGAATGTTCCTTTTTCCCTGCTGGCTGGCCTGCTCCCTCCTCTGCATCTGCTCTTGCCTGGCCAAGAAGCCACACAAAGCCTGCTTGTTTGGCCCTTGTCTCCAGAAGCTCTGATGTGAAAAGCATCTGCTGCTTCTTTCCCCTCTCAGCCCCCCCAATCCCCCAAGGAACCAAAGAAAGTGATGCTATCAGGAGGAAAAGCGAGCGGTCCTGCAGCCAGGAAGCCGCTTCAAATAGCTCCAAACAGACTCGTGATGGGAGAGATGGGCTCTCACTCCCTCCTGCAAAACTGGGCCTCCAGAGCCACAATGGCCTGCTTTGTATGATGCATCCCCCTACCCCCACCCCCCACCTCTACTCTCACGTCTCCTTTGCAGATACATTCGCTGCCAGAAAGAGGTGGGAAAGAGCTTTGAGCGGCATAAGTTGAAGAGGCAGGATGCAGACGCCTGGTAAAATTTCATCCTCATTCTTGCAGTCTGAGACTGCCTGCCTTACTCCTCTGTGAGCACTGCCTGGGAGCCTGGGCCAGGCCCCAAGTTCTGTACCAGGTGGCAGGACCAGCCCAGGCTCCCACCCCATCTTCCCAAGGCCTCCTAAGGCTCTCACTGTGGAAAGAGTGAGTTTCTTCTACAGAGACAGCCCCTCAGCTCTGTCTTCACACAGTGCTCCTGGTTCTAGCTTCTAGCACCTACTGCCATGGGGTTCCCTGGTTATTCTTCTTTCTCCCCAGGTGCCTCCCAGCCCCAAGGACCCCCTGGAGATACTGGTGTTCAAGCCGTGCTAATGCTGGGCCTTGGCCCATCTTTCCCCTCCTTTCCTCCAGGGCTCTCTATAAGATCTTGGACAGCTGCAAACAGCTTACTCTGGCCCAGGGGGCAGGCGAAGAGGACCCGAGTGGCATGGTGACTATTGTCACAGGCCTCCCACTGGACAATCCCAGCACACTTTCAGGTCCCATGCAGGTGGGTCCTGGGTTGGGAGGAGGAACCAAAGTGGACTCTATCCATTCCCAACTGTCCTTACATCACCCTTTTCCCAGCCCCTTGGCAAGCTGTCGTATAGCTCAGGAGGCTAGGCCCCCTCATGTTTCCCTCTACTCCACAGGCAGCCCTACAAGCTGCTGCCCATGCCAGTGTGGACATCAAGCATGTTCTGGACTTCTACAAGCAGTGGAAGGAGATTGGTTGAGACTGACCCCCCCGGCCCTGCAGTGGGGCTGACTCCAGATCTCTCCTGCCCTCCCTGGCAGCCAGGACCACCACCTGTAGTCACCCCACCACATGCAGACTCACGCACGCACACAGGAAGGAAGCCCAGCTGCGGGCAGAGGCTGCAGGGAGGGACCAGGAACCAGCGAGCAGGGAGGGCGGGGATCCCCTGTGGCCAAGCTGATGTCAGGAAAGCAAGGAAAGTGCTTGGAGCAGGAGAGGCCTGTGGGCCCCAGGCCAGCCTTCCTGCCTCAACCCCCCTGCTGTTCCAGGATCAGGTGGCAGGCGTGGGGGGGGTCTGCGTTTCATTGGAGTGGTTCCTGGACCTCTGAGGGGAAGGAACAGCAGAAGGGACCCTTCTTCCTCACTCAACATCCAGGGTGGTTGGGAACCAGAAGTTTGGACCCTCCAGGCCCTGGGGGAAAAGTTGAGCAAGCCTGATGTCTGGGTGGGTCTCTGCAGACCTATCCCTTCCTCAAGAACCACCCATCTTCCTTTCATCGCCCTTTGTGGGGGCTGGGCAGCTCTGGAGCCAGGGGCTCTTCCAGAAGTGGGTTGTGGTGGGCCTGCAGTGAGTAGCAGGGTCAGGCTTGTGTTCCCCTCCTCTCTGATGCAGGGGCCTGACACTGCCCTCTGCTTTTTGCTATTCTCAGTCTAGCTGCCAGGCCAGGGAGCTTTGTGCTCTTGGCTGCTATGCTAGTAAGGAGTTGGATGCCAATAAGAGAAGAGAGGGGCACAGCCTCAGGCCGCCACCCCATTCACTGTCTACTTAGGGAGGGCTTTGCTTATGTCCAATGGGAGAGCTGAGGTTAGGGGCCTGCACTCTGGTGGGTAGTAAAAAGGAGAGGCCCCTTGAGGCCACCTGGTCAGGCTGGCTGTCCTGATGGACTTCCCTACTTTTACTCTTCCCCAGGACTGAGACGTGGGGCGGAGCATGGGGCAAGCTTTGGGGTGTCAAGGTAAATATGGGAGAAGGGGGAGTAGAGATCATGACTAGCTCAGGGCAGTGAGGGAAGCAGAGCTGTGGGAGGTGTAGGCCAGGGGTGCCTCATCCCCTCCCCTCAGGCTGGACAGATAGCGTGGGCTATGGGGTAGGGACAAGAATATCAGCCCTATTACTCCTATCCCCCAGGGCTAGCCCAGCTTCTAAAGCTTTGCTTAGAGGTGAATGGGCTCCCTGCCTCCAAAACAGTCTGGGGAAACCATGGGGAGGTAGTCATCCCTGATCCCTGGCAAAGACTGAGACAAGCATCACTAATAAAGATCTCCCCAAGCCCATTCCCTGTGTCCTGGTATCTTTCTGTGCAGAATTCTTATTGGAGAGGGGGAGGGGAGGAGAGAGGGAGGGAAAGAGTGAGTGTGTGTGTGTGTGTTGCCATGCACTTGGAAAGGCTTAGAGGTGGCTGGGACAGAGCAGCAACAGGCCCGCAGTGTCGATGAAGGCTTGGAGGGGCTTTATGAGACACTCAAATTCATGACCCTGTGAGCGGAGGCAGCTTCACAAGGGTTGATAACTTGTAAGGGGTGGGCTGGAGCTCTGGTCAGAAGCCAGGGGATAAGTGGAAACATTTTGCATAAAACTCTGTGGCCTGTCATGGATTCCAGGGGTAGTGCTGTAGTATCAGCACTGGACTTAGACCCACAAGTTTGGCAGTTCAAACCTAACAGGTGTTCCTCGGAAATCCTATAGAGGTTGCAGAGTTAGAACTGACTTGATAACACTAACAACATGCTACGTGCTGCCTGATGTGCTATAGGGTAAGCACTGGACTGCTACTAACGGCAAGGTTGTTGGTGCAAACCCACACCAGCCACTCCTTGGAAACCCTATGTTGAGTAAGTTCCAATTCCTATTAACCCATATAGGGTTTCCAAGGAGTGGTTGGTGAGTTTGAACCACTGACCTTATGGTCCAGCACTACTATGAGTCCACACTCATGGCCCTTAACAAGTGTTACCTGGGGCAGTTTTCCTAGACACAAGAAAGTATGGTGGGAGGTTTCTGAAATCTAGTTAACGATTTGTGGGGGTTTGGCTTTCTCAGCCTAATCCAATGCAGAGTCCTGGGAGAGCCTGTAATGGGTGCAGCCTGGTCTGAAGGCAGGTGGGCTCCATCACCCTGGTCCCATCCTGCAGTCTGTGCTACTTGGCTTGAGTAATGGGAATGATCAAGCTGAGAGGCTGGCTGTGTCCAGAAGGCCTAGTGAGCTGCCTGCTAATGGGGTTGGGCCACCCTGTGCTGCTCTCTGGAGGCTGGACAAGGCTGGGATTGTTCCGAGTCCCCTTTGTCCCCCTACTCCCCGCCCAGGCCTGGTCCGCCTGCCCAGCAGCTCTCCTCTCCCTCCCTCCTCTCAGCCTGGCTGGCAGGAGCCAGGGACTCCGCCTGTGGAGCTGGGTCTGCTGACCCACCAGCTTAGGAGCACCCTCAAACTCAGGGTAAGACAGCTCTCTTTCTGAGGCTTTGGCATCTCCTATCCTGGGGAAACAGGTAAAGCTTCTTCTCCAGCTACCCCACCCATTTCCAAGGTAATGGCACATCTCAGCCTACTCCAGAGACCTCTGAATCTTACGGATAAGGGAAGGGGCTCTAAGGGGAGATGCTGTGTGCCTCTTGAGTTGATTCTGACTCAGAGACTCTACAGGGTTTCCAAGGAGCAGCTGTTGGATTTGAGCTGCCAACCTTGCCGTTAATGCAGTGCTGATCCTACTGTGCAATACTAGGATTCCCTGAAGGGAGGTAGTGCCCGCATTTTCCTCTCCCATCCCCCTCAGGCTGGGCAGTACTTCAAGATAGAACAAACCCTAGGGGATGCCACCCTCATCCACCTTAAAATGCTGGGTGCAGGGTGACCTTGTGGCCAGATGGCTCCCCAGAATCCAGTTTAGGGGCAGAGGGCTCCCAAACTTGAATGACAGAAAGAAGCAAGAGGCCTGGGGGACCAACCAGAGGTGTAGGGGCCAGAGTGTGTTCAACACAAAGGGACATGGACAGGCAAAGCAGGCTATGGCAGTTAGAGGGGTGGGGTTAGGCAGTAGAGTTGCTGGAAAGTTTTGGCTTGGGATGGTGGAGTGGAGGGGAGTGTCCTATTCTCTCTCCTTCAGGGGCGGCTCCATCAGCCTGGCTGGCCTGGCCTCTGCATTTGCGCCCAGGAATGTGCCTGGGAGAGGGGCCGGGAGAGGTGGGTGGGGCAACAGAGTTTAGGTTTTGGGGCTTGGGGTAAGGGGCTCAAGAGGGGCATGTACCTATGTGGAATGCCCCTCAGGGCATAAGTAATGTGCTCAGAAATAGCCAAACATCCCCCTAATTAATGCTTTATCTGGCTGACAGGCATCTGGTCTCTCCAGGAACTTTCCCTGAGGGCCAGGAGTTTTCTGGTGGGATGTAGAGGGTGCTTGAGCTCTCTCTGCACTAGTTTCCAGGAGTCAGGGTTTTCTGAGAATGAAATTAGGGGCTTGAATCCAGGGCCTGGGGTTGGTAACTAAGGTAGCCTCCCAACTGGGGAAGACCCTCCACTCCATGCTTAACTGAGGCAGACCAGCACCTCTCAGTGGGTGCTGCAGCTGCTGCTGAATTTATAAAGGGTTAGATGGGGAACTTTTAGGCAGCCTGGGAGGGGTTGGGGTTATGAAGGGCAGGAACTTGGCCAGCCTTCCCCAGGCTTGAAGGATGTCGCTCAACAGACCAGGCAGCTATCACTGGTACATGCACACACGTGCGTACACACACAGTACAAAGGGCCTGTGGATGGGGATAGGCACCTGACACGCCCCCCCACCCCTTCACTCTCTCCAGGTCACAGGTCACCGCGGAGGCACCAGGCCACTATGCTCAGCCTCAAGCTACCCCAACTCCTGCAAGTCCACCAAGTCCCCCGGGTGAGGGCTTGACCCATTAACCCCATACCCAGGGGACTAATTGGAGCACAGGTTCTCTCTTAGCTATTGGGAAGATCGATCCCACCTGCAGTCCAATTCCCATTGCAGTTCTATATAGCGCACACCTGTGACCTACTCCCTAGTCCAGAGGCTTGCTCTCAGTCCAGAGGCTTGTCCCTGCCCACCTCCACTGTCCTCCTATCTTGACCCTTACCCTTTTTCTCCTGTTTCTCATCTGCCCTCTGGGTATTGAGACCTGTGGTACAATGGCTTCATCTGTTAAATTGGCTTTGGAGCTACTATGATTCCAGCCTACCCTATTCAACCTTATTTCCAGAGACCCCCCTCATAAATGAAAGGGTTCCGGGCATAAAAGAAGTGCCTCCTTCTTTCTCCCTCCTTCCACCGCCCCAGGTGTTCTGGGAAGATGGAATCATATCTGGTTATCGTCGCCCAACCAATTCTGCCTTGGACTGTGTCCTCAGTTCCTTCCAGATGACCAACGAGACAGTCAACATCTGGACTCACTTCCTACCCACCTGGTGAGGGGAGGGGAGATCCCAGGCCACAGCCTTGAGCTCAGAAGGGGTACCCAGGACGGCAAGAGCCATCAAGGCGTGCGGGTTGCTGCAGGGTTCCACCTAAGCACATGCCCGCTGCAGGTACTTCCTGTGGCGCCTCCTGGCGCTGGCCGGAGGTCCAGGCTTCCGGGCCGAGCCGTATCACTGGCCGCTGCTCATCTTCCTGCTGCCCGCCTGCCTCTACCCCTTCGCGTCGTGCTGTGCGCACACGTTCAGTTCCATGTCTCCCCGCGCGCGCCACATTTGTTACTTTCTAGACTACGGCGCGCTCAGCCTGTATAGTTTAGGTAAGTCCAGCGGGGTGGCGAAACGAGGGCGTCGTGCGGGTTTGAGGCGGAAGTGACGCATGGGGGAGGAGCCATCTCCTGTGCACGCCCCGTGGGCCTCAGTCCCCGCCCCTACCTCACCACAGGTTGCGCCTTCCCGTATGCCGCCTACTCCATGCCGACCTCCTGGCTGCAGAGCCGCCTCCACCAGCTCTTTGTGCCCGCCGCAACACTCAATTCCTTCCTGTGCACCAGCCTCTCCTGCTACTCACGGTGGGTTCCTCATACGCATGTACACCTGGAACCCTCGGGGTGGGGGGCAGCTATCTTGTGCTTTTCATTGAAGACCAAGTATCACACCCTGTACACTGGAACCAGACTTACACTGTGCCCCTTAATTCTCACAGCCACATAAGAGGCAGACGTCTTTATTACCATTTTACAGATAGGGTAATTTACAGAGGTGGTCATTGTGCCCTACAGGCTCTCTTTACCACTAAGCTACAATAATTATCTTGGTCCAAGGCTGAAGGGTCCGCCTGCCCTTTCCTGAGCACAGGGATATGATCAACCTGCCTTTCCCTCCGGCCTCCTAGGTTCCCGGAGCTAGAAAGCCCTGGGTTCAGTAAGGTCCTGCGAACAGCTGCCTTTGCCTACCCCTTTCTGTTCGACAACCTCCCGCTCTTCTATAGGGTAAGGGTATGTGGGACCCCTGCCCAAGCCTCCTGCTCTCTTTAGTCCTGACCCTCCAGGTCCAGCACCAGCCCAGCTCTGCCCACACACCCATCTGCATCCTATCCTCATCAGACCCCAGATCACCTGCTTCCACTCCCAGAGCTCTTCCCCAGCCCTGCTCTCCCGTTGCCAGTTTGGGCTGTGCTGGGGCCGGGGCCATGATTGCGGGCAGGAGGCACTGAGCACCAGCCACGTCTACCACCTCTTCTGCGCACTGCTCACTGGCTTCCTCTTCACCTCCCACCTTCCCGAGCGTCTGGCACCAGGACGCTTTGACTACATCGGTAAGAGGCTGGCCAGACAGCAGCACTGAGACAGCTCCCCAGAAACCCACAGAGTGAATGGGGTATCCCAGTCAGAAGGATGGAAAGAAATGATAGGGAGGACTTTATGTTCCTAAAGCCAGGGTCCTGGAAGCGTCCTGATGTACCGGTATACTCCCAACCTCCATTGCTCGGATAATGGCAAAACTTGTTAAGTGCCATGGAGTCAGTTCCTACTCATAGCAACCCTGTATAGAGTTTCTGAGAAGTGGCTGGTGGGTTTGAACTACTGACCTTGTTGTAAGCAGTCCAGTGCTTATCCTACAGTACCACACTAGGACCCCAACAGCAATAGTAGCATGCAACTATTTCCTTCCTTCCCATCGCTCTGGGAGGCATGTCTTCCCGTTTCCAATGTAAAGAGGGACAGGAAGCACAAAGTGAGTCAGGAAAGCTCTGGGAATGGTGGACACAATCTGACCTGCTCACCCTCTCCCAGGCCACAGCCACCAGCTGTTCCACATCTCTGCTGTGTTGGGCACCCACTTCCAGCTGGAAGCAGTGCTGGCTGATATGGGGTCACGGCGTGCCTGGCTGGCCATGAAGGAACCTGCTCTAGGCCTGGTAGGCACGGTAGCCACACTAGGCCTGGCCGTGACTGGGAACCTACTCATCATAGCTGCCTTCACAGCCTCTCTGTTTTGGGCCCCTGGTTCATGCCCCTTGTTGCAGGGTGGCCTGCCAGAAGCGGGTTCCAGGGCCAAACAACAGTAATCCCATGCCTGAGCCTGCTCTGCCCTGGAGGGAGGCAGAGGCCAGGCCCCACCATTGCTGACTGAGTCAGGGCCACATCAAGCCTGGAACTGAGAAGCGAGTATGGAGGAGAGAAGGCCGAGGAGTGGAGACAGGCACCAGGGGCAGGGAGGGAGGGTGTGTGAAGATGATGTGTTTGGATGCTCTTGGGGTCAGGAATGTGCTGAAGGTCTGCGAGGGGAGAAGCGTGTATCCAGGTCAGGGCTGTTCCCTGCCCACGGTTGGGATAGAGGTTTTGGGGTAGCCTCATTTGGTCCCATTTCTGGTGCTCCTAGAAGCCTCTGCTCAGCCCAGGGAAGAACTAACACGACTCACCTTGGCCACCCAAATGCCTGCTAACCCTCTCAGAGGCCACCTCTCACCCCCAGACCAGGCAGTGCCTTCTTCCAGCAGCAATTTGCCTATAGAGATGAATCTGCTTGTCCTCGTCACAACCTAGGGATAACCTTGCCCCTAAGTGTGCACTCAAGGTGTCCAAGTCCTTCTGGGTCTGGGCCTAAGTGGGTGTGTCATGGATGGGGTTGAGGCAGGTCCCAGGAGGACATTGTGGGCTGGAACCCTAGTTAGCCTTTAGAAAGTCACCTTACATGCTTTCTGAACAAGGCAGGTACAAATAAATAAATAGTTGATTTATAAATAGAAGCATTTTCTGGGACTTAAGAAGGTAAAGCCTCACACCTCCACCCACTCTGCCTGAACTGCAGAGACCACACAAAGATCATCAGCCCACTCAGTTATCTTCTGGAGTTTATTTTCGAAAGAGCTGGGGTATTACAGGGTGGGAAAGTCAGAGTGAAAGGAACAAGAGCTATGTTATAGGGAGGAGCTGGAGCCAGGTGTGGCCAGCTGAGTAGACACCAGATGGCCTAGGCTGTGCCGTAGAAGCGCTGATAGGCCTCCTGGAAGCCAATGTGGTCAGCCAGCTCGTCACAGTCCGGATTGAGCTCACAAACCTCCCTCTTGGGCTCCAGGGGATCTGGGTAGGGGGCTGGGGCTCTGAGAAGTCCAACACAGCGGCATTACCCCCATGCAATTATCCCAACAGCTGCCTCCCTCCCAATGCACATGGGGTTTGAGTTCCTACCAGGGGGAATCACCCTGCCCCACCCCCAGGTTACTCTACTCAGCAGCCCCTTTTCTCTTACCCCTGCCCTTGATCCACGTAGCGTCTGGGTCTCCTTACCACCTCACTGCCCTCTCGCTTGGACATGAAGGCTGTGGAGCAGAGGGATAGGGATCAGGTGGCTCCAGGTTCTGGGAGGCAAGGTGGGGAACAGGCTGGCCTTCCAGACAGCCAAACAGATGCTGGCAGGAAGAGGGAATGGGGTTGAGGGTCAGAGCAGAAGGGGCTGGGAATGTTTCGTACCCCTTGGGTCACCTCATACCTGTACCTTTGCCAGACTTGGACTCAGCGCTGGGCTTTGCTTCTGGAAAGGAAACAGAGCATTTCACCCCTGCTCACCCTATGGGTATACATCTCCTTTCCCTGCCTCTTTGACAGCTTGCTCTTCCCTCCTTCCCCTCCACAGGCTGGACACAGCAGGGAAAAATGGGGTGATCCTGCAGGAGGGTGGTTAGACTGCAGAAAGGATGGCTAAGTGGCCTGGGTGAGAGCGGTCAGCTCTGGCTCCTTTCTCTTGTAAGTTCCCACTGAATACAGCTGGATGGAGGTAGAATACTCACCTACCTGGCCAGCTAGACAAAGTGTGGCCAGGACCAGCAGGGCCAGGATCAGGAGGGGCCTCATGGTGTGTCTTTGGCGGCTGTGTTAGGGCTGCTTCTTGGGACTCAGCTGGTCTGTCCCTTCCAGCTTCTGGCACCATTTATACCCTCTAGCAATGCCCCGGAAGCAGGGGGTGAGATGGGGGTGGGTGACAGGGGAATCGTCAGACCCTTTAGGCCAAACCCCAGAGGATGTTGTGGTTAGGAGCTGTGGCTGCCTGGGCAGGGCCTGGAAGTGATGAGGGGGTAGGCCGCAATCTGAGACCACCAGGCTCTGCATATGACCCTTGGACTTGGAGGCCTGGGGGTCGCCCCAGGTCCCCCAGCCCCTACTCACTCTCAGGTTGAGTACTGTTGGGCAGGTCTGAAGGGTGGGAGGGGAAGAAGCCTGGCAAGGAAGAGGACTCCAGGGTCTAAAATAAGTTAGAGCAGAGCTGGGCTCCAGTGTTCTCCAAGCCTGTGATTTTCACTGTTAGCCTGTGGGCAGGAGCCAAACCCCAGGGAGGGCGTGCCTCCCAATGCCCTCGCTCACCCAGGGGACTGTGCCCCAGCGAGATACCCAGGGCAGGCAGGCCTGGCTGGAGTCTGGTCAGGCTGGAGCATCAGGGCAGGGAGAGGGCTGGGGCAGCACAGGGTCAAAGCCAAGTGAACAAAGCAGGGGCTGTGTGTGAGGTAACGACCTCTTAAGTCTCTGGGCAGGCCAGGTGACTATGGAGTTCTTCACATCAATGGTGCTAGCCAGGTGGGCAGGGTTGTGAGCACAGGACAGGTGCGGTGCTGTGGTGGGCCTCCTTCACTGTGCTTCTGGGGGTGCCCACTTTCGAAGGGCAGGGAGCTGGAAAGCATCACACGACTCCTGGCCCTTGGTTCTCTTCCTGCCCCGGCAGGCTCTTCTCAGTGTTGTTACGGTAACCCCCCCCCCCCCCCAGCAGTAAGTGGGGGGTTTATGGGAGGATTGTCCTTTCAGGAATAAAACATCCCAGCCTGAAAAATGCTGTCCCTCACCTGAAAGCCAATATTGCTTCAGGTCAACTTGGGGACAGTCTGGAGGGAGTCCTAGCACCTTCCCCTCTGACCTGTGTCCTTAATTATCCACCCACCCAGCCAACCGAGCTCTGGACCATTTGTCTAATGCAACAACAAAGCACTCGATCCGTACCCTCCCACACACCTCCACTGGATAGGAGAGGGTGTCTGTCTGGAGGATTTAATACTGCAGCAACTCCATGATGGAGCAGAGGAGAGGAGAGATGGAACCAATGGGTGCAGTGTTTTGGGAGAGGTTTGAGCATTTCCACTTGATGTCTTCCTGTCTGTGTCTCCACAGGGTTAGGGAGAGGCCATCACCAGTGGCTCCACCTCACCAGGTAGAAAGGTTTTACCCTCAACCCAAACTTAATGCCCTTCACTCTCTGGTCCTGAGGAAGTACCCATCATCCTGTCTTTGGCTGAGCCCCTCCTGATGCCCTGCTGGCCCTGGCTGGGAGGAATGAGGTGAGGGAGGCATAAAGGGCCAGTTCCCCTGGTGACTAACCTTACTCTGAGCATGAACCCCCTGTACCCACTTCACCTCCCCCAACCACTGAATCTTGTTCAGAGGTCACCCAGATGACAGAGAAGAATGGCTGGGTTGGGCAGCTCATCCTGATCTCGGGAAACCCAAGGGTCCTGGTTTCTATGACTGGGCTCCCTTCTGCAGATGATGCTTAGATACACTGCCCTCCCTCCTGCCCACACACCCCAGCTCAGGGCTGTGAGAGAGGCCTCAATTGAACCCAACTTGGAGCCTATGAGGGTCCTAGCTGGAAGAGGCCCCGCCAAGGAAGCCTCCTCACAGATTACAGTGTAGAGAAGGAAGTTTATTTACGGATGTGGGGAGAACATGGGAAGGCTCTCAGGCTGGCCAGCAAGGGGGCAATCAGTGAAGATTGAAAACAGATTCCCTAAGCCAGGTCCTGAGAGGACTCAGGAACTGCAGAACATGGGGGTGGGGTTGATGGATGTGGGAAGCCTGTGTTGTCTGGACCCTGGAGAACAGCAAGCATGGTGCCTGATTCCCAGGGTCGAAGTCAGCCAAGAATTCTCAAATTAGAAGAACACAAGGAGAATCTGAAGGTAGTATGTCTGTATGACTCCAAAGGAGTTTCAAAGGCCCAGCGCAATGGGGCCTACAATGGCCTCGTCCTCCAGCAAATTCCATCACTGCTTAGGCACTAGGTACCATTTCCACAGTTTGCCAAAGCAACTCATCCAGGCCCTTGACCTTGACTGCCCCCTGCTCTTGGGCCTGGCTTTCTCCTTACTCCGGCTCCCTCAGCATGGCCAGCAGCTCCCTCTGCTCTCTGTGTAGTGCCTGCAGCCAGTGGGAGAGAGCAGGAAAATCAGAGCATGAGAAAACCCTAACCCTGTCCGTGACTGGACCTGGGCATGCATGGACGGACTCTGTGGCTCACGTCAGTGGACTGGCAGGACATGTGAGGGTGAAGGCATGCTAGGAAGTCTCCAGCACTGAGCAGGCACTCATGGTAGGTGGGTGCCATGGCCTCTCTGGAGCAGAGCCCATCTTCAACAACGGTGCCCAAAGTGGCCCCTGAATCTTGGGCTCCATCAGTGTTCTCTAGTAGAGAAGGTTTCTTGAAGTGGACTTTCAACAGACATGAAAATGTTAGTAAAAAAGAGCTCCTTGAAGCTTCTACGTGAGGTTCTATACTGAACACTCACTCACCCCATCTGTTCAAATGGCCAATTTAATACAATGGTTTGGGTCTTGGCAACTGGCTGGGTGAAGTATGGTATGAGCTTTGTGTATCAGGGCTGTAACGGCCCTGGGAATCATCTTTGGACAGGTTTGGAAACCAGGGTCCAGGATAGAAGTGACCAGAGGCCTCTTGGTGCCTGAATCCCATGGTAGCGGAGCAGTATCTTACCTGAGAATCCAGGAGGGGCTCCCAAGGAAGGAATGGAAAGGGGCAGGGCTGGGACACTGACCTGCCAGGCCTGTTGCTGGGCCTGGACCTGCCGCTGCAGCTCCTCTACCTGCCTGCGGCCAGCAATGACGGCATCGGCCAGCTGCCGGTTCTCAGCCTCCTGTTTCTGCACACAGCGCTGTAGGGTGCCCCGCTGCTGCAGGAAGTAGGGCACCATGGTGCTGCGCAGGTCCTCCTCTGGGATCCCACTAGGGCGCCTGGCACAGGGTTGGGAGGAGAGGACATGTCGGGGTGAGGGTTTCACTTCCAAAGCCCTTCAGGCCCAAGTTGGGCTGACTTTCAAGGATATCATGGGATTCTCTCACCTCCCAAGACTTGCCCGCACAGTTCCTGCTCTGGATGGAAATGCTTAACACCAGCCTTGAACTTCAATGTCCAAGGGCCTACCTCCTGCTTCACTTGGCCCAAATCTCAGTCTTTCAACCACACCTCATATTCTCCTCTGCCACTCCACTCCTCTAGTCCTAATAATGTTCCAGGGTCAGAGGTCACTTTATAGCTCCTATCCCTCTTTGTGACCATGTGCCCTGCTGGTCCATCTGTTCAGTGAATCTGGCAGCTGGAGAGATTGGGGGTTGGCTGCCTGGGCGACAGGCCAGTCTTAGGTCCCAGGGCATATTAGCAGATTTGGGAAGATAAGGAAAGATAGGTCGGGAAGAGGGGAGGCAGAATGCCCAGTGAGGATCCTGTGTTGTTTTTGATCCTGAATTGTACCTTGTTCAATTCCCTAGTAAACACCATAATTGTGAGCAAAAGAAGCAAAAATAAATAAATAAATAAAAAATTAAGGTCACAAAACATATAAACTGGAAAGTACCATAAAAAACCATCTACTCCCATTGGCCAGGATTCTGTTCAGATGGTAGGAGGCAGGTGGCCTTGGGGTCTCTCCCCTCCTCTTCCCAACCCCACTTCTCCATCCTGAATGGGACAGTCCAAGAGACAGCTGGGTAGAGGGGGTATTTGGTTTGTCTGGTTTGAGGCTGACTCTCTGGCATCTAAACAGTATCAGACATATTAGAGCAGGTGCTCTCTAGTGTTCAATGAATCAATGAATAAAAACCAGATGCCGGGGCCAGTCTCATCTCCCAATGATTCCAAGCCTCGATATTCTGCCTCCCTTTTCTTCCAAAGGGCAAGCAGGTCTTAAAATGCTTTCCCGAGGAAGGCTTCCTTTCCAAACTCCCTGACATCACACATGTCCTGGGGCTCTTTTCCCCCAAGGAACACGATGCATTTCAACTTGAATGTTCAGTGTCTGTCCTGTCCACTAATCCCTGTCAAAGGGTCCTCTCTTAGAGACCATGAACCCAGGCCCTACCTGCAGGTCCCTCATAAAGTCTCTTTCACACTGTCCCTTTTTCCCTTGAGCTTGGGGAGCAGCTGAGGGAGTTCAGGCACCACTGCCCAGCTCACCTCCTGGCCCCCATTCTCACCATGCTGGTTCCTTCCGGTCTTTGCCTTCCTCCACAATTTCATCCAAGGCATTCAGGACTGCTTCCAGGTTCCCCTCCTGTTTGATTTCAGAGATTTCTTCCTGATGAGAATGGAAGAAGGAGTTGTAATGATACTAGACAAGCCTACAGTAGAAATATTTCAAGCTGTTAACAGTGCTTAGTGAGATTTTGGCTAATTTCTGTTCCCGTGTCTTTATACTTTCCCAAACTTTCCAACTTCTCTACACTGTTGTTAAGTGTCATCAAGTCATTTCCAACTCATAGAAATTCTATATTGGATTTCTGAGAAGCCACTTGTGGATCTGAACTGCTGACTTCAGCTTAGCAATCCAGTGCTTATTCTATAGCGCCACACCAGGACTCCTTCTACAATATGTGACTGTATAATTAAGAAGATAAAGTATAAATGCAAGCATGCCTCTTCCCACTGCTCAACTGAGTTGCCCAATCTCCCTACCCTAGCACTGGAGGCCCTGGATCTTATCTCTAGACCTGCTCACCTCCCCCATGGATCACACCTGCCTACTCACCCCTGTTTTCCTGGGCTCCTCACTCTCAGGGAATGAAGGCAACCCATTCCCGGGTCTATGTCCCCTCTCAGGCACCTGCCCCGCCCCACCCCTTTCCTCTACCACCACAGCAGCATCTTCTCTAGGCTGTGGTGCACTGTTATCCCCACCCCCCGAGCACCCTTTGCTGACACCATGTTGTGATGCTCAATGGGACCATCCTGGAGGAGAACAGCGTGGAAGTTAACTCCCAAGAGAGTTCACAAGTCCTTAAAGACACAAGTGAAATCATGTCCTTTTTCATGGTCCCTGGGCTAAGCAGTTCCATAGGCTCTGCTATGCCAGGCACTGTGCAGGTGCTGGACACACAAAGATGAGTAAGACGAAATCCTGCCCTTGCTGAACTCACTCGTCTAGTGGGTCAGACAATGTATAAACACATCATTACAACAAAGGATCATCTGAGGGGGGCATTTAAGATAACACGTTGGAGACTGACAGATGTTGCAATCTTCTGGGTGTGGAGGAGGTTCCAGGGGCTGAGGAAACAGAGTAGCAGAGGAGGTGTCCCCGCCCTCAGGACCCCAGCCAAGGATACCTGCTGGAATCCTAAATGTTTCTTCTCAAATTGTCCCCTGTTGACAACTCACCCAGATAGATGTCTGCAATTGAGTTATAAACCTGTCATAAATCCGCTGTGTCATCTCAGGCTGCAACTGGTGGAAGCGCTTGTAACAGTCAGTGAACCTCTGGTAGCTGGTAGGAAGGAGAAGTCACAGACAGGGAGGGTCTCACACACAGCCCCGTATCATACCCACTGCACCCCCACTTCACATCACAGGACTCTAATTAAGCTTTGTTCACTTGCAGTTCCAGTTAGGAGGAATGCTCCAAACCTCAGCATGTATAAAGCTGCTAGGAGGCCTGGGGGTGGTCTGAGAACCTGTAAGATAAAGTATAAAATGCAAGCATGCCTCGTCCCACTGCTTCTAACAAGTTTCCAGGTGATATTGATGCTGTTGGTCTGGGGATCTTACATTGAGGACCTGTGGCCTCAATTGATCTTGGTCATTCCAGTCTGTTGTACAGGCCCTGGATAAGGTAGAGTATGTGGCCTCTGGGAAGAGTTTCCTTACTCCTAAAAAGAGCCACAGAAGAAGAGATGGATGCTGTGTCCAGGTGATGCCTATGGCCCCTGGAAGCCACAGAAACCCACGGCCTGAGGGCAGAGCTTACACCCCAAGAAAGAGGGCAAACAACCGGGGTTTCCAACAACGTTGTCAAACTGTTGCCAACCTGGAGCTACTCTCCCTAATGTGAGGTAATGATTTTCTCTTATTGTTTAGACTGTTTAAAATTGGATTTTTGTTACTGACAGCTGAGAACATCCTCATTTATGTATCCCTTTTAGGTGAAAGAATCAAAAGACACCCAGCACATACCCAGTATCTTGCACAGACACTCAAAAGTAAATTAACCCCCTTGGCCTTTTCCGTTCTTTCCTTGTTTTCTTGCCTATTTCTCTGCCTACCCTCTCAGGCTCTTCCCCTTCAACTCAGCACTATTAGTTAGTGTTCAGGGGTGAATGAGACTCACAAAGCCCTCCTGGAGCTTGTGGTAGGTGGGGCATGCAGAGTGCCTGGAAGGAACAGGGTCAGGATTCTGGGGCTGAGAGTGTATCAGGAGGATCCTCTTTAAGTTCCGGGCCAGTGAAGGCCTCTCTAATGAAGGGGATGTTCAACTAACTTGCAGTAAGTTTTGAGTTGAGGAGGAGTCTTCAAGCACAGGAAAGCACAAATGTATGCTTTACTATGAGTTAGAATGCTCCTGGGGCTAAGGGTCAGGTTGGAGAACCAGTGCATTCCCCGGCCCCCAGGGAATCACTGCTGGGACTCCTCTCCCCACCCCGCACCCTGCCCAATCTTGACCCTCAAGCTCAATTTTGTCTTTTCTTTTTTAAATAGAGCAAAGAGTAAGTAAGAGCAGGGGTATACTGGAGCCAGCTCAAAGTAGCTTGCAAGAGACAGATGTTAATTTTTCAGGACATTTGTGAGCCAGTTGTTAAACATGCCATTATTAAAAATTAAATTATATCAACTTCCAAGGAAATATCATGAACAAAGATACTGAACATGCAAAATTTACCACTTCTTAATTGTTGTTGTTAAGTGCTGTCGAGTGGGTTCTGACTCATAACGACCCTGTATAGGGTTTCTGAGTAGTGGCTGGTGGGTTTGAACCACCAACCTTGCTGTTACTGGTCCAGTACAACACCACACCAGGACTCTACTTCCTAATTAGTTTACCATATTTTACTGTTTCTGCATCTATTTCATCACTCTGGTGAAATACTGTATAAAGGTGCCCAGCTGTTCCTCGGAAACCCCATACAGGGTTGTTATAGGTCGGAACTGACTCGACGACACTTAACAACAACAAATGGCACCGTGGGTTAATGCACTGGACTGCAAAGTAAGTAGGTTTGAACCGCAAGTTTGGCAGTTCAAGCTCATCGGCCACTCCTCGGAAACCCTCTACAGGATTGCTATGGGTTGGAACCAACTCAATGGCACTTAACAACAACACACTCCTTCCTTGAGACTCCTGGTGTGGTGCTGTAGGACCAACACTGGACTTTGAACCACAAGGTCAGCAGTTCAAAACCCACCCAGCTGCTCCTCACAAACTCTATACAGAGTTGCTATGAGTTGGAAGCAACTCAAAAGCACTTAGCAACAACAATCTCTTCGTTGGAGTCCTGGTGTGGCGCCATAGGATAAGCACTTGATCTCAAGATCAGTTTGAACTGCAAGGTTGGCAGGTGGGTTAAAGGTTGGGATGCTAACCATAAGGACATCAGGCTGACAGGTTTCATAAAGATTTAGTCTCAGAACTCCTAAAGAGCAGCTCTACTTTGTTCTATCAGGTCACTATGAGTCAGTATCAACTTGATAGCAGTGGGTTTGATACAACTCTGTTCAGTGACAATGTGTGGATAGTTTAGGTATATTTATGCCACAGAAATAGCAAATGCTACAAACCAAGGCTTTCCTCAGGGAGCTAGTTGTTAAGCATTTACCTGCAGCATATTTCTGAGTAAGGGTAACACATCTACCACCTAGTTATGTGTGGGCTGTATTCAATGCTAATAAGTCTACAGCATCAAAGGAAAAGATAAAGAACTGATGAGTGTTTTTTCAACCCTCAGCAGAGTCCCAGACATCTTGCTGTTTTGCTGCTAGCCCCACTGGCCACGAAGTCTGTGGTTACAGAAAAGAATGTAGAGGAACATATGACATCTAACCAAGCATGGCTGGAATCAAAACTGGGTAATTGTGGCTGAAACAGGTTTGGGGTGGGCATGGGAGATCCTGTTCTTCCCCTCAGCCCAGGCAGAGGGCTGGAGCTGGGCCCAACGCTCCTCAGACTCAGACAGATTCTGCCCCACAGTGCTGCCCAGGAACTCTTCAGGCGCCTCCTTTGGGGTTTGATAATTCAATGAAAATAAAAAACCCCAGAAACATACACATTAAAAACAACAACAACAAAACAGACCCTAAGTTCAGCTGCTCAGGACAATATGGCTTAACCAAGTAAGGAAGACAGCAAGGTTGAGGACCAATGTCACACTGAACGGAAGAGAGCATTTACTTTTGTGAGGGTCAGCGCAGACTTGAATACTCTGGTGGATTTCCTAAAATATACACTCAGGAAGAACCTGGAGAGTGATGCATTTCAGAAAACATTCTTGCCTTCCAAACTCCTATCTTCTCATGCCATTTACCTTGTTGCTGGAATCTATGGTGTCCAAGACTGAGTGATATGCACAGCAGCATGCAAGATGCTCCATAGATGGGGTGGTTGGGGCTGATGTGAGGGCTATCCCAATTCTAGTCACCTCTTCCACTCTGGGCCCCAGAGTCCCAGGGCCTGGGCTACTTGAGTGGAGAAGTCCTCCCCAACAAGCATCCCCAACAGTTTCTCTGCTAATGCCCCTCCTTGCCCCACTAGTACAGTCTCCTGGCCTTGGACTTCCAAGGATTCACAAGGGATCACCCAGCTATAAACTGGCTAGGTGCATTGGTACTAAGGACAGGCTGCCTAGGTTCAAATCTTAACCTTTACCACTCAGCAACTGGGTAATATTATACAATTTTTTTTTTACTTCTCTAGGTCTGTTTCCTCCTTGTCAAATACAGATAACTGTAACTATACCTCAAAATTGCTGTAAGGATTAAGTGAGGTTATATATATGTATGTAAGGGTGAGTCAAAAATTATCCACACTCTGGTTGTATCGCAGCTGATAATAACATGAGCACTCACGTGAAATGATTCTGTTGAATAAACAAGTGACTGTGGATTATGTGGTAAATCATATTCAGATCAGCCATGGCTCTGCTTATGAAATAATCCATGACAGACTTGGGTTTCGAAAAGTTTGGTACTGACACAACTCACCAAAGAGCATGAACAGAAGCATCTGGACATCTGCAAACAAAATTTGGACTGACACACAAAGGAAGATAAGTTTCTTAAAAATATCGTTATTGGTGATGAGACATGGATTCATTACTAAGAACCTGAGAGTAAATGGCAGAGTATAGAATGGAAACATCCTCAATCATTGACTAAGGAAAAGTTCAAAAGTCAACCATCATCTGGAAAATTGATGCTTACAGCCTCCCGGGACTCTCAAGGGTCAGTACTGGAACACTATCAGGAAAAAGGTTCAACATTCAACAATGCTTGTCACAGTGAGATGCTCACTGAAGAGCAGAAGCCTAAACTTCCAGACTAAACAAAGAAGACTGCTATCGAAGGGTGTTGTGATCTTGCAATACAATGCACATCCTTACACCTCTGTCTACATTGCTGACACTCTGCAAAAAACTTCCTTTTTAGGTGTTAAAAGCATCCTCCCCATAGTCCAGATCTTACTCCATCAGACTTTCACCTGTTTGGTCCCCTGAAAGCAGCCTTTAGAGGACGAAGATTCAACTCTGATGAAGAAGTGAAGACAGCGGTGGCTCGCAGCTCAGCCTAAAACATTTTTAAAAAGGTAACAGGAAAACAAAGTGTATTGAAAAGCAAGGAGAATCAAAAAATTATGTGTCTTTTCTAAAAGTTTAAAATAAATTCTACAGCCAGAGTGTGGATTATTTTTGACTCACCCTTGTACATAAAGATTTTCAGTTTTCAGTGGCCAAAAATTCAGAAGTTGCCTCTCCTAGTTTGCTTTAATCTGGAAGTTTCGCTGAAACCGGTCCACCATGGGTTGGCCTTGCTGCTTTTAAAAATACCAGTGGCATAGCTTCGAACATCACAGCAACATGCAAGCCACCACAGTATGACAAACTAACAGCTGAGTGGTGGATCAGTAAACAGCTGAGTGGTGGATCAGTAGTTGGAGTATATGGTCTTGGTGAGAGAAATGATGCTGGAGATCACATGATAGAATTTTGCAAGACCAATGACATCTTCATTGCAAATACCTTTTTTTAAACAACATAAAAGGTGACTATACACATGGATCTCACCAGATAGAATACACAGAAATCAAACTGACTACATCTATGGACAGTAAAATTTTGCTGAAGATAATTTTTGCTCATGAGAAACCTGTACATAGACCAAGAGGCAGTAGTTTGAACAGAACAAGGGGATAATGAATGGTTTAAAATCAGGAAAGGTGTGCGCAAGGATTGTATTACTTCTACCATATTTATTCAATCTGTATGCCGATAAAATAATAAA